GGACGAACACAGAGAAGAGAGAGGAGAGAGAGAGAGAGAGAGAGGACGTGCATGGTCGTGTCTCGCTGGTGCCCCGTTTTCCCACAGCCGGCGGGGGTGCATTGCCCTTCCTGGCCGTTCTTCTTCTCCCTTGCTCGGGGTGCCGCCGCCCGCCCACCCACCCACCGCCGCCGCCACCCCAGGCGAACCGCTGCTCGTGATAGCGATCGTCCGCTGCAAGGCCTTTCGTGAGAGCGTTGGGCGTCAATGCACGCGCGCGGCGACCGGAGGGGGGCCCCCGGGCGGGAAAGCCTCACTCAGTGCAGTGCAGTGCAGGGCAGGGCGGGCCGCGGAAGGTCGGGGGCCGCACAGAAAGAGCGTTCGAGGCCCCGTCAGCGTGAGCGGTGGGGCTCAATTGCATGTACATGTGCATATTACCTGTTACCTACCCAGGCCCTTTCTCCATGGTCCGCATCCTGCTTTTTTGGGGTTGTTTTGTGTCGGGGGACAGGCCAGCCCTTGCTTGCATCACGGGCTGCAGCGTCAGCATCAGCAAGGGCCAGATATCGTGGTGGGCTTGTATTTGCCCGTACGTGGTTGTGAAGGGCGACAATGACCCACAAGAAGAAAGAAAAAAAAAAGAGACCAACGGCATTGCCGCACGGGGATTTATTTATTGCCTGGCCTAATGGCTTACCAAACTCTATGATAATAACGGGGAACCTAAGATCAGATGAAAAAGGCCGGTTTTGGTGGACGGCTGGACATCCGTGGTCTGTGATTTGTGATCTGTGTGGCTCCGCTATGCCAATTCGAAAGCGAAAATCCTCAATGGCATCAAATCTGCAGCGAGGTTGGTGTTAACAACAAGATGAAAAGAAAGATGGGAAAAATAACTTTGTAATTTCCACCGATTGAGGGGTTAAGAGACTGCTGAGCGACACGCGCTCTCCTTCTCCCGTTCATGCTTCCCAAAAGAGCGCCCGTGCACTTTTTGCAAGCCCTCTCTCTCCTGCTCGGTTTTCCCTTTCTGTCTGCACACTCACTTTCTCCTTCCCTCTCGTCCTTCTTTTTTCCGTCTTCGTCTCTTGTTCGCCCCGTCAACGTCCATCCATCCATCAATCCACTTCTGTCCCGTCCTCGTTTCGCGCATGCACGCCCCCCCTGGTCGTCTCTCTCTCTCTCTCTCTCTCTCTCTCTCTCTCTCTCGTCCTCCTTCTCTTTAACACACACCCCACTCCCTAGCAGGCGCTATCCGGCCGGGCGGGGAACAGGTGCACTGTAAGCCCACCTCTCTCCCCCCCCTTCCCTCCCTCCCTCCCACCCAAAAAAAAAGGCGCGCGCCGCCCACCCCGGGATCACAATGGTTCATGCGAGTGGATAAAGTTCGGCGATCGTTGGTGACACTGACAGCGGAACATTCAGGTTGACGGGCAAGGCGCGAGCGGAAAAGACACGGAAAGATTGGTACCGATGCGCGGTCCCCAGCGCTGGGCCGTCATCCATCCGCTGGAGTGTGGTGTGGGTGGGGCCCTAACCTAGGCAGGCAGGAGAGCAACGTCTGCTTGACAACCACCCCACCCTTTCTTTTCCCGATTTGCTGCTAGCTTGCAGTGTGCCTTTATCTATTGATGTCTTTTTTTTCTTCTTTTTGTTTTTTTTCTCTCTCGATATCAAAGATCGCTTGGGTTGTCGCAGCCCGTGCCGTGGTCCACACCGGGCAGAGATCCGGGTTTGAGGAGGGGGTAGACAACTTATTTTTTCTTTTCTTTTGTTCAGACAGGAGGCAAACGCTGACCGACCTGACGCAGCGAATCTCATGCCTCGGAAGCAGAGCCGGGGGCGGCAAGCTCTCGCCTAAGCCCATGACACTGACACCTGCAGCACCCCCGCTTGCCTCGGCCGTTGACTCGGGACTAATTGGGACGATGGGGATGGGAGGGAGGGGGGGCCCAGACAGAACCCAGAACTCGTTCATCGGCTGCTGAATCAATCAAGGAACACATTGAATGAAATGGTGCACGGCCAACGGGCTGAAAGCCTCGATTCAGGCGCACCACGCACACGCGCCGCGGAGAATGCACCCAGTGTGTGCGGACCATTTTTTTCTTTTCGATAGCTCTTGATTTTATTGCCTTGCTCTCAAGCCCACCCAGCTCGACGTCCGCTCCCTGGCTCGTGCATGCCGTCATTTTGCGTAGTGTGAGGCTCCGGGCCGCTTTTGCGGTCAAGGGGGATCAAAAAGAAAAAAGAAAAAAAAAAAGAAAAAGGGTCAGCTGATGCGTTCCCCAGTAACCATCCATGGGCGGTACGGTACATACCTGCCCTGCCATCCAATCCTCTCTCACACGCTCCGTCGTCGGGCACACCCCCCTTCTGCCGGCGCGGCGCGGCTGCGGGTGCATGTATTCCCTGGCTAATAACCGCCGCAATCAATCTGCGACGGAGGCTCACGTACCTGCAGGATGGACGGGAACACAGTGGGAAAACGAGAGAGATATAACCTGCAGACCATATACAAGGTAGCGGGGGAAAAAAGACGCGAGCAGAGGAAGAAAGAAAAAAACCATGTTCGAAAAACCACCAGGGCTGTGGCTGAGCATTACACCGCACACACGCGCACACACACACAAACTGGTACACACTAGCACGGCCAAGCGATACAGATCAGGTCTGGTAGAAACGAGCAGCATCTGCCTGTTTGCGCGAGATCAAATCCTTGCTGCCGTGCAACCAACTACCTGGCGGTTTGTGGTTTGGGGGCTTAGTGTACATGTGAGAAATAGCACACACATAAGATTCGCAGACGACGTGTCATACAGCCTACCTGACGGGCGTATGCCGACATGACCCGCGATGAAAAAAAAAAAAAAAAGTACGGAGCTCTTTTTCGACAACACCGTCTCATGTTTATTGTCTATGTATATTCTTTCCGCAAGAAAAAAAAAGCCTGGATGGGGTTGGGACGAGGAAGAATAGCCGAAGCGGGTTGCGCAACGTGATATCCCGCCCAGACAGCATATGTGTACACAAACACTGACAAACAGACGCACATGTGTACCTGTGCCTACCTGCCTACCTACCTACATACCCGGGAACGTAGGTACCTACTAGCTACCTGGCTCTCTCTACTGCACGCATGCACACACACCTTCTAAAAGACCGCCCGGTTGGGCACACGACAACGTAGCTTCTGTACGGGGCAACATCCCTCTTCCTTCCGCCGCCGACCAGAAGCCTGGGTGCTGACCCTGCCGGCCGTGTAGCACCGGGGATGAGCGGGTGGAAGACGTGTTTATCACCGGGGTAGCAACCGCAGTAAAGAGAAGACTAAGAGTTTGCGTCAATGGCATCCTGATATTTGAAATTTCAAAACTTTGAAAAACCCCCGCACCGCTAGTATGCATACTTGATACATTCTCTGAATGCCGACACCAATGTGAATCAACGCTGCTGGGCCTCGTCTGAGCCGTCGCCTCGAGGGCCTTTGGGCAGGGCGAGCTTGCCACGAGTGAATGTTCAGGTGATAAAAGTCCCGCAAAAAGGACTGCCTCGCCTATATCCGACACCATTATCCGAAACGAGTAATCTTTGCTCTTCAAGGACTTTTTCCTAGCTCATACTTGCTTTTTTTCTTTCCATGTATTTTTTTCCCGCGCAATCTCACTTGTTTGCTCATCAGCCGCCGCTGCTATCCGCTGCCCCGTGTATGACATGAGGGCACGCACCCCCCCTCGTCCGGGGTACACGGGGGACGACGGGCGAGGGGTAACCACCCTGTGGGTTTCCGAGAGAAAAGACGGAACCACGTAGAATTTCCCAGCGGCGCGGGTCGAGGAACCAGAGGGCTATGGCTGTTTGCTGCCGGCCCCTGATTCCGAGCTTTCCCCCTCCCTGCAGGGGTTCTAAGGCAGGTAGCCGGTGATGACCAACAGCCGCCTTTTTGATGAGGGGAATGCTTTTCCGGGCAACAGGGAGGTGTCGCCGTTGAGAAACACACTCCTAGGGCGCCCATATAGCGCGGGCCTTATGTCCCCAATCCACAAGAGATAGATCTCATCTGTGCGAGGAAAACCAAAAAGGGCGACGGATGAGGAAAAAAAACGGACAAACCGAGAGAAAAAGGAAACTGGAAGCAGATGGCGTCGGATACGGACTGCAGTTGTTTATCTGCAACACTGGCGCCCTGCACCTCCCAATGTGACCCCACCTCGTTGGGGCGACACATGCTAACGTCTTGCCACTAGAGTAAGAGACAAATTTTCTTCCTTTCTCCAGGCTTGTGCGGGTTTTGGCTCTTGTTTATGATTGTTGGTCCAACGTGCATACCTTGCTCCCATACGTCGTGGCGTCGCAGCATGGGGGTGTAGCGGCGAGTTGCGTGAGCGAGACAAGACACGGGCCACTCCAAAGGAGAAAGGAGAGTAGAGAAAACAGCCCGGGAGCCTGTCTCAGCCGTGCACACCTCCGGGATTACACCTCGCTCGCTTGTCAGGTGAAGGTCCGCCCTCATAGGTGAGACGCCTGAGACATGCATACTTTGGAGCCGAGAAGGCGCGCAAATAGTGACGGCGACACATCGAGTGGTCGTTCAGAGTCTTAAGAGAGAGAGGTCGGCAACCTCCCATCTCACAGGCGCTCCTGGATGCCAGGATACTTTGGCTCCCCCGGGAAATGGGCCTCGGGCCAGACGTGACGTATCGCCTCCCATATGTGACTGCTCACGGCCGACACGGTTAGCGAAACGGAACGGGAACACCAGAACAGAGCGGCCGGGGTGGAGGCGTGTGCCGTTGTGCTACAGATAGCAGACAGCCCCGACGAGAGTGAGCCTTACCTGGCGTGAATTATGGTCAGACCGTCCTTGACCTCCTGGGGCAGGTCCTTTGTGTCCTTGACGTTCTGGGCCGGTAGTAGCACCGTCTTGACACCCGCCCGCAGCGCCCCGATCAGTTTCTCCTTGATTCCTCCGACGGCAGTGACCCGACCGCGCAGGGATATTTCCCCCTGGTTAGTGTTAGCAAGCCACTCCCGAGAACACGCGCAGACGGATTACAGAGCAATATCGATAAAGCCAACAAACCAGGCCCGTGGGTCTGGCTGGCTGGCTGGCTGGCTGGCTGGCTGGGGGCCGAGAACTGGGGACTGGGGGTAGACTGGGGGTAGATAGGTGTGGTTGGACGAAGCGAGGGAGGACTTACCGTCATGGCAATGGTTGGCGGCACGGGCTTGCCGGAGAATAGGGAGATGAGGGCGATGGCTTGGGCGAGTCCGCTGCTCGGGCCGTCCTTGGGGATCGCACCAGCCGGGCAGTGCACATGGATGCTCCTGTTCTTCATGATGTTCTCGGCCGGGTCTGCGGCCAAGCCAAGCTCGTACGCGTGCGCCTTGACCCACGTCAGCGCCACCTCGACGCTCTCCTTCAGCACGTCACCCAGCGTCCCCGTGAGCTGCAACGTGCCGTTCCCGGGCATGTCGGCCACCTCGATGAACAGGATGCTGCCGTTGCCCCCTGTGCTGTAGGCCACCAGGCCCGTCACGACGCCAGGCCTGCTTGTCTGCTCCGCGAGCTCGTCCTCGAACCTCTCGATCCCAAGGATGCGCTCAATGTCGTCCATAGTTAGCTGTGGCTGGTATGACTCGAGCTTTCCACCGTCTTTTGCATCCGCGTACTCGACCGCCTTTGCGCGGCAGACGGACCCGATCTCGCGCTCCAGATTACGAACGCCCGCCTCGCGGGTGTAGCACTCGATGACCTTGGATACCACCTCTGGGCCAAAGACGACCTGGTCCGGAGCGAGCCCGTTCACCCGCACCTGCTTAGGGATGAGGTGTTCGTTGGCAATGTGCCTCTTCTCCAGTGTCGTGTACCCGGGCAGATATATCATCTCCATGCGGTCAAGCAGAGGCGGCGGGATGGTCTCGAGGCTGTTTGCTGTGGCTATAAACAACACCTTGCTGAGGTCGACAGGAATGCCGACGTAGTGGTCCGTGAAGGTGCTGTTCTGCTCTGGGTCGAGGACCTCGAGCATGGCGGCCGAGGGATCTCCATGGTTGGTGCTGTGGCCAATCTTGTCGATCTCGTCCAGAAGAATGACGGGGTTGGCGACGCCGACCTTCTTCAGGCCCTGGATCACCAGACCCGGCATCGCGGCCACGTACGTGCGCCGGTGTCCTCTTATCTCGGCCTCGTCGCGCACGCCACCCAGCGAGATTCGGTGGAACTTCCTACCCAGGGCCGTTGCTACTGATTTTGCCAGGCTCGTCTTGCCCACACCAGGCGGGCCGGCAAGAAGCAGGATGGGGGACTTGTCCACCATACGCTGGCCCTTGAGCAGGTCTATCTTGGCCTGGAGGGCGTCCATACTCTCCTGTGCCGCACCCGTCGCTCCAGGGTCCGCCGCCGCGTCGTCCTTGCACGCTTCTGCTTCGGCAGGCTGCGCCAGAGTCTCCTGGATCTTGCTAATCTTGGCGTCAATGTCCTCATTGGCCGACTGCTTGAGGCGCAAGACGGCAAGGTACTCGATCAGGCGCTGCTTCACCTTGTCAAGGCCGTAGTGATCGTCGTCAAGCTGCTTCCTCGCCCGCGTCAAGGCAGTGCGATCGAGCTGATCGTCTGTGACGTTGGACCAAGGTATGTCGGCAAGCGTCTCCAGGTAGGTCCGGAGCACACTGTACTCGGCCTGGGCTGGCACCATCTTTTTGAGGCGCTTCATCTCTCGCGCAGCCACCTTGGCCGCCTCCGGGCTCAGCCTCGCCTCCTCTAGCTTCCTCTGCAGCTCTTCGGTCTCGTCGGGCTCCTGGTCGCCCGGGTTCCGGCCGTGCATCCCGTTCATGGCCGGGGGCGCGATAAAGGGGGCCAGAAGAGAATTTCCAGGCTGCCTGCTCGCGGGACTCGGATCGGGCATATCGGGCATTGGGAAGGGTAGGGATGTGGTCGTGGCAATGGCGGTGATCCTGATTGGGTTCTTGAGGCCACTGATGTGTCGCTCTAAAAGTTCAATGACCTTGTTGACTCTGTTCTTAACGTCGAATAGGCCGAGAACATGCAGCTTGTCCTCGTATGCACAATCCACGATATTTGCCATAAAGTCGGCAAAGGCGCCTGCGTCGGCGACCTGCTTCTTGCTGATGAACGCGTCGAGCCGTCTCAGCAGGAGAGGGGACCGTGCAGACCGTGACATGAGCGACGACAGCCGAATCAGGTTGACCAGCTCTCGCGACAGCGCCTTGAGGTGCTGGAAGCGGTCCTCTAGGTGCTCGTCTAGGAGGATCTCGTCATGGTGTACCGTGACCTTGCCCTCGAAATGGGGGCGCTCCTGGTAAACCTTGTCCACCTTCACCCTGGTCTGCCCCTCGACGAGCAGCGAAAACTCGCTGTTGCCGCGACCCTCCAAGCCGGTGATCTTGGCCGAGACGCCATGTGTGTACAGGTCGGCGCGTTTGAGCTTGGAGTAGTCGATGGGACGCCGGGATTGGCTGTCGGCCTGGTCCGTGTCGAGGATCAGTCGCTGGCCGCCGCGACCAATAAGGGGGGAGGCGATGGGGATGCAGGCGATGGGGACGGAGTCGATGCTGCCCTGGACTGAGGTTCGGGTGTAGACAGAGCTGATGATGGCGATGAGATCGGCGCGGTGGGCGCTGACGGGGATGCGCTGGACGATTCCAGGAAGCAGTACGGTGCCGTCGGGAAGGGGCACAATAGCCATAACAACGCTCTCGGGAGCAGCCATGGTTGTTTGGGCTGTCGGTGGACGCTCGGGTTCGAGAGGGGATGGGAGAAGGCCAGGTGAAGGCGAAGTCAGGCGAGCAATATAGTCAAGGCGCGAGTACTGTCACGGCCATAAGGTGATGAAAGGGATTGTCAACAACGAAGCCGGGGGTGGGTTGACTGATAAATACGGGGTGGCTCGACGGGAGGAGAGAGATGTCGACGGCACTCACATGTACTGCACCATCATTGGCCCGCGACAGGAGCTGCAGTACGTAGGTACGGCAAGCTGGGGTGCGTGTTGGTGCCGAGGCTCTGGATCAGCAGGGCCCACCCAATGGGCGAATGGTTGTGGAGCCGAGCACAGGTGGTGCGCGAAGTGCTTGCTGGGTTTCAGTCCCTGGAGAAGGTTCTCGGAGATGGAACGAAGCTTCCCCGCGCATGACATGGCAATAGCGACCGTCGAGTCTGAGCTATGGAAGCCAGTAGAACAAATGAAGGCCCAATCAAGCCAAAATACTGTCACTTTATGACCCTCAAAGAGTCAAGCGTGGCGTTTGCGGCCGTCCTCAAACTTCCATGCACATGCGCTTGCATCAGCTGCGGAGATATGGTCAACACCAATCAACAGCAAATCAATGGATGGATTCAACCTGTACGCCGCCGAGCCAAAGTGAAAATACGGTCAAGCGTGCTGAACGGTACCTACCCGCAACACCCGTAGCCCGCTAAAGCGACCCGCCAACGGGCCTTTGGATCAGTGGATGCCGCCTGCCGAGCAACCCCCGCGCGCGTCTCGTCGCGTCATTTTCAATCAAATTCACCCCCACCACGCGTCTTCCAGTCTGTCCATCATGGAAGCCTGGTGCTGAAAACAGCCCCCGCACCCAACGACGACATCACCACCACACAATACCCTCTCGAAACTCGGATTTGTGTAGTCGAGGTTCTAAAGAAAAAAGAAAAAAGATGGGTATGTATTTGTTCCTGGCATTTCCCTACCTCTCTTGCCGTCTCCCGTTAGTCCTGACAGTCCAAAGCTTCCTACGGCGGCTACTCCAAGACAAATTATAACGCCCAGGGCGGCGACGATGGCGGCGGCTACATGGGCGCTTCCCAGCAGGGCTCACAGGCCGGAGGAGGTGGCGGCAATCAGGTGAGCAGCTTGGAGGAGTGGGTTGGAGATGTACCAGAACTAACATGCTCTCCTCTTCACCCAAACAGAACAGCTACCAGAACGAGTCCCTCCGGCCCGTGACCATCAAGCAGCTGTATAGCACCGAGGAGGCCTACTCGGGCGCCGAGCTGGTGCTGGACGGCAACCCCCTGGCCCAGGTCACGTTTGTGGGCCAGGTGCGCCAGGTCAACCCGCAGGCCACCAATATAACCTACCGCATCGACGACGGCACTGGCTCCATCGACGTCAAGAAGTGGATCGACAGCCAGAGCATGACCGACACCGATCCGGCCGAGCTGCACCCCCTCGACAGTTTCGTCCGCGTCTGGGGCAAGCTCAAGCACCTGCAGGACCGCCGCCACGTCGGCGCCACCTTCATGCGCAACGTCGACGATTTCAACGAAGTCAGCTACCACATGCTCGAAGCCGCATACGTCCACCTCTACTTTGCAAACGCGAAGTCCGGGGCCGAGGCTAGCGCAGGCGGCGGAGGTGATGATAGCATGTTCGTCGACAGCTACGGTGACTCGCACGGCGGCGGCGGCGGCGCGGCCAAGGCCAAGGGCTGCTCGGCCAACGCCCAGCGGATATTCGGCTACATGCAGAATCAGGCCGCCGGCAACGACGGCATGGAGGCCCACGTGATATCCAAGGGCATCGGCATGCCCGTCAACACCGTTCTCGCCGCCGCCGACGAGCTGGTGACCCAGGGCCTGATATACACCACCCTTGACGACCAGACATGGGCAATTCTCGACTACTGATCGGCCGTTGCGTCGGCAGCGGGCCGACGGGTGAGCATAGATAGGTCAGGGTTGATCTCGGCTGTTTTGCGAGACTGGCCAATGGAGACATGATTATCACGACGCCGAAGTTATATTAGTTGGTATATGCCAGAACGGGTCATGTTGATTAATATTTTTTTTCCCCCTCGGGACGGCGTTTGGCGGTATTGTAGGAGCAATTTGTGACTTGTTTTTACTGTGGGTCTTGTTTCCGAATACAATTGACACACCCTTGGACCCGAAGCGAATCTCCAAATGCGTTTGACCTGATATTCAACCATCTGCTTCTTCCCCAGGGAACTTTGTGGAAACCCAGCAACACCCGGAGTAGTCGGCATCAGCCTCTTATATTCAGGAACCCCTGTAGAAGACGGTACCAGGATCGCTCATCTAGAGCCATTTATGCAACTGCGCGCGATTGTGTGCTCGTTGTTGTTTAACTAGACGTGAAAGCTAGTGTGTAAATATCAAGAGAGGGACTACCGCCCATCCGCGCCATGTCTGGGGAGGCGATGGGTGTCAATCTGGAGGAGGGTGTGAACGACATGATAACGGCGGTGAGGGTAAGTGCATAGGAAGGGAAAAGGAGACCGCGATATCCAAACTAACAAGCAAGAAATCGAGCGGGTAAGATAGAGATCTCCGTAACGAAAACAAGGCGGTACTGTCGGCGCATGTCAGAAAACGACACTCAAAAGGGATGCAGAATTCAAAAGCCATAAAAAGGGGCATATGCCGTAGGAAGCAGTCATAAATCGTCAGGAGCACATCGCGCTAGTTCAAAAGCCAAAGAATCAGGCACCAAAACTCTCACATCCTCCCTCCTCCCCCTCTCCCCACTCAAGCCAGCTTCATGGTCGCGCCGCCCTGCAGCTTGCCGGCGCCGGCCCTGGCGGGGTAGGCGGGCTTACGCGTGGGCTGCTGCTGGGGCTCGCGGACCATGATGGAGAGCTGGACCGGCACGGGGCCGCGCTCGAGAAAGATCTCACGCCTGACCTCGAAGCCGAACTTGGCGTACAGGGCCACATTCGCCAGCGAGGTAGACTCGAGGTACATGGGGCGGCCCTCGGCGTCGGCCTATATGGGGTGGTGGTGTTTGTGTGCGGGTTAGCAATGGTGCTTTCGTCTTTTAAAGTGCAAAGCAACAAATGCTTTTTTTTTTTAAAAAAAACCAAAAAAAAACCACGAAACTCACACGAGCAATCATCTCCTCGAGCAGCTTCCGGGCGTAGCCGCGGCCCCGACCGCTAGGCTTGGTGCCCAGGTAGACGAGGTAGTAGCTGTCATCGTCGCGGTCGCCCAGGACCTCGGCCTTGGTATGGTGGAGCAGCGGCATCATCTCGTCGTAGTAGCGCCTCCGGCCCTCGGGCGAGAGCTGGAAGTAGAGGCGCCAGAGGCCGCTCCGGATTGTTATGAGCCAGCTGTCGAGGTTCTTGCCGGGAGTGAGCCTGTTTTTTCCCTCCCATCCATTTCTCCCACGTCCGCGAGGTAAGTAAACAGAATGAAGAACCCCCCCCCAAAAAAAAACGGAGATGAGAAAGATCCCCAAAAACAATACAAAAGCCCAACTCACCAGAGCGCCACCCCCTCATAGTCGGGCCCGATGGTCGAGACGACGCCGTTGCAGCAGTGCGCCGCGACGATGTAGGTCATGATGTCGACGTGGAGCTTCCACTTGCCCTCGGGCGACGGCGGCGGCGGCCCGGCCGGGTCGTCGTCGGCGGCGTCGACGAGGTAGCGGTGTAGGTCGTCGGCCGCGAAGGCGTGGGCCAGCGACAGCGCCGCCTCCCTGCACTCGGACATGCCGACGGCCCGCACGCTCTCGCCCCACTGCACGGGCACGAGGGACCGCTTGAAGTCGACGATGACGATGCTCTTGCTCACGGTCGTCGCCATGCTGGGCAGACTTTTGAGGATGGAGTTAACCTCGGGTATGCCGGACTCGTTTTGAGTTTTTGTTCGTTGTTATAGGGTGATGCTTTGCGAGACTGAAGAACGGCAGGTATCAAGCAGTGCACAGCAATCTGTAATCGTGTAAGTCGTCGGGTACATAGGTAAATAGGTAAGCATCCCGCGCTGTAGACTGACCTTAACCGATCTGTAAATTCTGTATATTATCACCCGTATGAACTCTAGAGAGCTGCGTTCTGGAAACGGCCATCAATCTAGAGGGATGGCGCAGGCAGTTGATGGAGATGCGTTGGTCAAGAGACATCAATATCAATCCCAACCCGAAGGCGGCGATGGACAGAGACGAGGGCGATACGACAGCCAGGCGTAGGCGGAAGCTGCTGCACTTGTGGCGCAGGGAGCAATGGGAGGAGAAGGACTGCGGGACAGCACGACGATACCGGGGGTGAGCTGGATTGTAGTCACTGGTACGATACTGCCAAGGTGGACTCGGATGGGAACAAAAGACCGAAGGGGAAGTGATCTGGAATACAGAATCTGAGAGACCCCGACAAGCACTATACGAATGTTGGCAGTTCAATCAAGCAGGTGGGGAATCCTTTACTGGGATACGCGAGACGAGACAGGATAGTAGCCAGGGTTTGAAAGTGGTAGGTAGTTGCGCGGTGTGTGGTATAGGTTGGCTGGCTGGTGAAAGCAAGTTCACTCAGAAGAGGCACGATGCCATCCAGGGGTGGGTTGGGGTAGACCGAGAATCACTTGGACGGGCGATGGTGAGGTCAGGAAGAAGGATGGGAGCAAGGAAGAAGCCGAGGCGGCAGGTATATGTAGTGGACAGGCGGCAGGCAGGAATGTACCCCTAGGTAGGCAAGGTAGGGAGAGATAGAGCGGAAGGGCCGGGTGGCGGCGGGCACAGTCTGTTCACAGACACAGTACACATCCCTTCCCCCGTTGGGGTCGCGCGTCGTGGTGGACGGCGGTCGTCATACACAGCAAGCACAATGCTGCACCACCACCACCACCCGGCCAGCCCCCGTCAGCATGGCCAAGACAGTGGGTGGGCGTGGGCAATGGACGACGAACGCCCTCTAGCCAGTCCCCTCGCCGCCACCCACCCGGCGCCCCCGGCCATTAGTGTTTTTCTTGGGTCATCACGCATCGAAAGAGTGTGATGTTTGCAGGGGGCGCTCGCTCGCCCGCCGCTGCATGACCGGCCCCGGCGAAGGCGCGCGCGCGCGAGCGCAGGCCGCAGGTCGCACCGAACGAACCCTGGGGACAAGTGGCGTGGGCGGCAGGCGGCCCTGTTCGGTCCAGTGATGAGCCCGCGCCGGCCCACGCTTGTCCAGCTTGTCCAATCGACTAGCGCACCTCCCGGGGCTAACGAGGGGAGGGGTTGCTTTCCTCCCCCCTCACGTTCCATGATTGCATGCCCGATCGTAGCCGGGGATGGGGCGTGCCACCTCTGATGTTGGTGCGGGCATCGTGTGTCCCACTGTAGCCGCTCCCCCTCCGAAGGTTGCCGGCATGCGGTGCCCCGACTCGGCCTGTCTCCGGTCCCGCGAGGAGTGGAGAAGCGATAAGGGTTGGCGAGGGTACCCCAGGCCCAAGCGTGTCCAGGGTGACGAGTGTCGGGTCTGGAGGAGCTCGATGCAAGCCGCTAGCGAGGCAGCAGACAAGCAGCTGGTCGCACGCAGCAGCTGTATGTAAGTCTAAGTGACTGGAAGCCGAACCTTGCCGGGGGTCGAACGAGATGGAAAAGGTAACTTTTGTGTAAGACTGGGTCCGTGACATGCACGCCGCAACTATCCCTGGCGAACCTGCAGTGTCATGCTGCGCACCCTCAGCATCTAAAGCCCAATCAGGCCCGGCCGATGGGGTGCGGTGGTGGCCGATGAGGCCCCAGCTGGACGTCCGTGTGCAGCCTTCTGCAGGAGGGGGCGTCAAGTGATACGATCCCCAAGCCCCGAGAGCCATGGACATGATAAGAGATAATAGCCGACTACGTCCGACGCCTCTACCTACCTACCAGGCGGGCCCAGCTACCAACTGCAGCATCGGGCCATCTGCGCTCACTCATGTCAGGGAACCCAGGCGAATGGTGCCGGGTACATGTTCCAAGTCCAGAACCAACAATCGCCTGAGGCTCTCTGCACCTACGTGGGGGTTCCACGATGATGAGATTGCACTTCCTCCGGCTTAGTTAGTCGACCATTAGATCGGAGAGGGGAAATCAATGGCTGATGAGGGTCGGATCATCCCTCCGTTGAGCTAGGCTTGTGCGCCATTTCCATAGGCTATCGATGCCCCTGCACGGTTCTTGGCACCAGCCTCGGAGTTGCTTCTGTTAGGGCAACTCTTCCATCCTTGATGCCGCACTTGACAAACATAACCAAGGAGCGTCGGTCGGCATTCGAGCTATTGATCGTTGCCTCGGTCCGTGCAAGAGCGGTAAGTAGCAACTAGTGCGAGGTCCTCGCGGGACTGATAACACCCCTGACACGCCACACAGCCAACCTGCCAACTAGCCTCATTCCTAGCTCGCCCTGCCCAAAATGGTGCACACCGATTAGCAACAACCAAGGAATGATCGCCCTGGATCTGGCCTGCAGTCAATGCTCAGATTTGGCCGGAATGACATTGTCTTGTCAGAGGCTTGGCATTAATTCTTCCTGTATTTCTTGTTGTTTGGGGATAGCCGCCTTGCGCAATGTCTCCTTGGGCATTATTTACAGCATGCGGCGGATGTCCTTCTCGTTCGTGTACTTCTCCAGCCCCGTGTCGAGGTGCTGCCACCACTCGAAGAGCATCGACTCGCAGATCAGCTTGAACCAAGGCGTGAACTTGGCCGCTGGGTCCTTGAAGAACTCCTTGAGCTGCTCTGCCGTGACGTACTGCGTCGCCTGGACCTCGTTCTCGTTGGGCGCGAGGTCGACGTTGGCCTTGATGAAGAGGATGTAGTCGACTGTGCGGCGACGGCGAGTTAGCAACGCGGGCCGACACCACCAAAATCCCACAAGAAAACAAGTCAAGACACATACCCTCGTGCTCGCCCCATTTGCCGTCGCTGGGCGCCTTGTAGTGTATCCGGGTCAGGAAGTGGAAGTTCTCGATCGGGACCTGATCCTTCTTGATGCCCAGCTCGTGGTCCAGCTTGCGCTGCGCGGCCCGCTTGACGCCCATGACGGCGTCCTCCAGGTTCGCGCCGCCCTCGCCGGGGATGCCCAGCGGGTGCGAGCAGCACGTGTTGGTCCACATGTCGGGGAACGTGATCTTCTCGGCCGCCCGCTGCTGGAGCAGCAGCCTGTTCTGGTCGTCGAACAGGAACACCGAGAAGGCGCGGTGCAGGAGGCCTTTGTCGATGTTGGTCATGAGATGGCCTGTGGCTCGTGGGTTTTCTGGTCAGCCTCGCACGCTCGATTTCCAGGGGAGATGGATGCAAAGGGCAAATCAGGGCGACCGACAAATCTTCTTGCTGCCCTTGCCGATGGGCAGGTCGTTCTCGTCCACGACGATGCACACCTCGTCCATCAGCCGGATCTGCTCCTCATCGTGGCCCTCCAGCGCGTCGCCGCTCGTGTCGATGTCCGGGAACAGGCTGAGGATCGTCTCGGCCGTGATGGCCTGGGGCGCCGCCGCCGTGGTCTCGGTCATGGTTGTTGTCGTGGTAGACATGGCTGAGGCGTGGCGATGGTTGGGGAGGGGTATCAAGAAAACAGAAAGCGGGGAGGTTTAGAAACGCCAGCAAGCAGCAAAAACGGGAGAGAAAGGCCCAGCAACCTTTATTTATGGAAGGTGCCGTCCGATAATAATTGTAATCTTGTTGAACTGGGAGAAGTATGGACAAATGTCCCCACAGCGAACCGGGCGCCAAAGCTCGGTGCTAGGTGGTGCCGTCAGTGCGAGGTCGAGATAATAAATCGGTGCCGGATTTGAGCTTTGCATCCCCAGCCGTTCTTTTCGCCCCTGAACTGCCAATGCCAACCCCTCGGGCGGGACCAGGAACGCTGTTTTCGGGGTCCTCCCTGGGCGGTGAAGGCAGCCTCAGCCCTGAAGCCTCGGTCTGGATCCTCATCGATTGCGGGGCAGGTGGCCACTGGGCTTGGTTGTTGGTGCGCTATCGATTATTGTGAGGTAACTCGTTGGGCTTTCCATTGAATAGAATGGGAGGGCGGTCCACGGCGCTCCCTCGGACAGAAGGGATCAGACGAACCATCTATCCTGCTTTAAGTGGTAGATACTTCCGCAAGTGACTGGTTTCTACCTCGGATATTTCTTCTCGGACGATTTGTTTGGTTTCTTTCTCACAAAGGCCCCAAACGAGCCCGCACGCGACATACATACGTCATTCCCGCTCGATCCATATCAACAGGCCCAGGAGCTCGGGTAAATTAAACATGGCCTGACCCTACCAGCATCGGTATTTTGCGAAACGATCCCATCCACGGGCTTTCTGAGTCGAGTCCCGCGCCAACGGTAGAGTCCGCTAACCGCTGGGCTTCGCCTAGTTTGGCTGGTGCTTACGTTTGTAAGTGATGAATCGCGACAGATTCGTGGCAGCCTCCTCGGCCCTCAACCTCAGCTCCGGCTGCCCCCTCTTGTCGATCGATTTGACCATGGCCTTCACCTTGGGAACAGCCCCTTCCAGATGCTCTAGGAACTTGTCCTTCCGGAACACGCCCTCGCATCCGAGCGTCTCGTCCCCGTAGATGTCAAAGAGCTGGTTAAGCGCCTCTACAACGTCTGCAGCCAGCGCTTCGGATGCCGACGTGATGACGGTGACGAGGAAGATGCCGATGTCGCGGTTCGTAGGCAGCGGACAGGGCTCCCTGGCTAGGTGCCCCAGCACGCCCACGCATTTGACCCCGAGGCCCTGGAATGGATCCTCGGGCCCCTCATCTTCGGGCTTAGGCATGCCCTGCGACGCCTTGTAGAGCGAGATGAACTTGCGATGCTCGTCGCCCTTAAGTGGTGTCTTGCCACCGAGGCTTCGCGAGACCGCCCATGCGAGGCTCGTCACAAGCGCGGCGAGTTCAACGTCGGCTGTGTCGTTGGAGATGATGCTCGCAACAACCTTTTCCCATATCGCGCAGCCGACTGGGAGCCAGAGCTTGAAAATGGCCTGATTCCCGTCGTTGGCAAACTCGACACAGGAGATGGTCCAGGCAAGGTTGTTCAGGGCTGACAGGGCAACGGCCTGTATCGCACTCGCCTCTTCGCATCGTGGTGATGACGACGCTAGGCGGATTAGCGACGGTACTGCCTTCTCAACGAGGGCGCTCAGGGTAGGAAGGTCGTCCAGTGTCGAAGGGCCTTCTGGCTCGTGATCGACGCCCGTAACCTTGGCCATATCAGCCAAGAGCTCATCCTCGTCCATTTCGTCCTCGTCACTATCATCCTCGCCATCGCCGCCGTCATCGTCGCCTCCTTCGTCCATGCCGTCCTCGTCCATCTTCTCGTCTTCGGCAACAACACCCTCCATTTCATGATCTTCACCGTCGTCGAATCCGTTCCATTCCGCATCCGCCTTATTCCCCTTCTCCAGTGTGGTCTGCAGGCTCGTGGCTATAGATGCCAAGACCTCTATGGCAACCTGCAAGACGTCCCACTGAGCGCCATCCGCGTCCAGACTTGCCGACGCGAGCTCACGAGAAAGGGCAGGAATGAGAATTGCATCGCAGGCGGAATCCAAGCCGCGTGAGTGGTCGTGCCACTCGAGCGAGGTGATAACGTTGTGAAGAATCCCGCACGACAGGGCCGCTTTGAGCCCACCAGACTCGGAAAGCTTCATGAGCTTTTTGTAGCACGACGTCGCCTGGTCGTTCAGGATATCTTCACAGAAGGACCTGTTGTCCTCAGACAGGGTCAACATGGTTGTCAGCCCGCCCGTGAGAACCTCTGTAGGCGTGGTCGCGTGCGCCACAAGGTTGAACAAGAATCGGGTGATTTTCTTGTTGGCGGTGATGGCCTGAAGAATCTCATCTTGGGCCTCGCCGAGATTTTCCAGAAGTGAAGCCACAGCACCAGCTATGTTCCAGACGAATCCCTGCTGAGCCTTGGGTGACTTTGCAAACTCTGGGCCCGAGGATGTCAAGGCGTCGGTGGTCTTGATGATGCCGACGTTCATGCTTATCAGTGGACCGCCCAATCACAAAGGTCTTTGATCTCACAGACTTACAGTGTTGCAGGCATGTTCTATGGCAGTCAGGACATCGATCCTGTACAGGTGCACGCAAAAGTCGCTCTCCTCCTCAAGGGTAATGACCTTGAGGACCTCCCAGCCCGCGGAACGGCTCTCGAGGCTGGAATCGGTCAGGGTCTCTGTCAGAACGGTCTGGACGATCTGCTCCCGCAAAAGCAACTTCCGACACTTCTGGTCCTGGATGATGTTTGCAATCGCGCCGGCGGCAGTGGTACGCAGCTTCGGGTCCGCAGATTTCAGGTCCTTCAGGACTGGAAGAATCTTGACCTCGCGCAGCTTTGCAAGCTCCGGGTCCGCCGGCGGGCCCTTTAGCTTAGCCACCGGATCGGAGCGATGCGACCGCTCTCTATTCCGTCGCGACTTTCCCATGATGGCGAGTTGGTGTTGTTGTGCTGGCTATCAAAACCTTGGTGTTAAAGAAAATTTTATGGATTGATGCTTTTCCAATTTCCTGATTCGGCCAAGGAAAAAATCTAGTTCGGCTACACCCCGCCTTGAGTGCCACTGCCCCATCACAACGATCCACTAGGCCTGGTCCAGCGCCAACGGAGGTGCTGGGAGTTCCATCAACACAAACGTTGGACACATGCTCTTGAGGAAAAAAAAGAGAGCAACAAGAAGTAATGAGCCTGTTTGAGAAAAGATGGACTATTCTCGTGTGGTTGAAGTATGTCTCTAGGGGGGCCGTGAGGTACCGTTTGAACAAGTATCATACCAAAACGCGGGTTCCTTCCTTCCCCCCAAAATCACTCTCGCTCGCCCTTTCTTTCCGGCAGCAACCACCTGGTTCAGGGTCCATGGGGAAACCATGCGCGGCTCGCCCAGCGGCTTTTAGCACGGGTAAAGACGCCCAATGAAACCAGCCAGCGTTTATCTGGGGAAACACTACAGTGAAGGTGGAGGTGCCCGTCATCAACAAGCCTTGTCCTGTCCACCTTTGGTGCTCACGACAATTTGCAACGTCGCCTTCCCATCTCGCAATTGACCAGGCTGTGCTCTCATTGTCTGCCCTGAAATTGATGAGCGAATTGTCGCACACTCGCCGTGTCACGCGCGGTGCATCGAGAGCCACATCGGGGTCCAGTCTTGCCAGCACTCATGACCAGACAGAAGCAGCCTGAGAATCCGACCGTTTCCTGAGTGAGCACGGCTGGGCCAATTTCTCCCAGCCTCTGCCCCTCGGCTCAACCTTGGTCTCATCGCGCGGCTCTCTCGGCCCCCTCGGGCGCGACAGTCGCGATGCCCAAACTACGCTCTCTGTTCCTCAGCGACGAGGAGATGGGGAAGAAGGACGACGACCACCGCGCCGAGAAGGATACAGGCGCTGGTCTCGCCGCCTGGGCACCCGCCCGCATCCAGCCGACGCAGCCCCGGAGGTTTCTCAAGCGCCTGTGCATCTTGATCGCCGTGGCTATCCTGGTCTACGAGTTCATCGACAACATGCCCACCGACGTCCCCATCAGGGACCGTAGACATCCACAGTACGTGCCCCAGGACTCTGGTCCTATTCGACCTCCGCCTGCCTCTGCTCCCGCCGTGCCCGACCGTCTCCCGGATTCTATGGATCCCGTCACGCACCGAGGCCCGAAAAAGCCGGCCGCATCGTCTGAAAAGGCGCCCGTGGCTGCAAGCCAGGATGCTGCCCATCCTGTCCGGGACTACAACGGCCCCATCAAGTTTGAGAAGCTTGCCGAGACGTTGCATGTTATCGGGGAGACTCGTGGAGCATATCCTCTTAACAAGAATGTCCTCTTTGCCGCCGCCAACCTTAAAAGCGCGGCAACCTTGCTTCCCATAGCCTGTCAGATGGGATCGGAGCTGCGCAGCTACGTGCATTTTGCCCTTCTGGCCCGGAGCGAGATCCCACCTGCTGAAGTGATGAAGGTCAACGGCATCGACGAGTCGTGCCACATCATATTTCACGGTGAGTACTGCCTCTTCAACACAAGGTCGCAGTTGCACGAGTGAAATCTGACCCTATTGCCCAGATGCGCGGCCCAATTTTGCATCTCGGTCTATGGACAAGCGGCTTAGCGAGAGCACTTCTAAGGTATTCGGTATGCTCTGCTTACCCCTGTTTTTATCGAAACACCTGACTTGGCAGCTGTCTTGACCCCCTTCCCGGAAATATGGTATAGGTGTGACGCGCCTTTAGCTGACGCAGGGCCAAGCCCACATATACAACTATATGCACCCCCAGGTCGTCATTATCGACAACCCTGCAAACGAGGAAGCCTCATTCCTGAAAGGCCTTCGAAAGCAGTCAGCTACTACCCCAATGCCTATCATTGAGCTTCCCGCCCGAGGTGCGGAGAAGTTGTCTTGGATGGCAAAGCTCGATAGCCAGTCTCTGAAGGGTATGGGCTATTTCAAAAGAACTCGGCACACCCTGCAACGTGTAACCCTTCAACGCCCTTGCTAACACTTTGGGCATCAGTCTGGAATGATGTCAGCATCGACATCATCATCCCTGCCGCGCCGGGTGGGGGCAGTCTGACAAGGCTGCTCAAGTCACTGGGAGCTGCAGACTACTTGTCCTCTTCGCCGCCACATATCACGGTAGAGCTGTCACATGATGTCGATATCTCGACTCAGAAGTTCCTCCAGGATTTCCAGTGGCCTCCTCCCCATTCAGAGAGCGGAGTGCATGCGCGCTACCTCTCCATCAGGCATAGGATACCAAGAAAGAAGCTGGACGAGGAAGAGAGCTCGGCACGTTTTCTTGAATCGTTTTGGCCTGCCAAACCATCGAGTTCGCACATTCTCATCCTTTCTCCGGACACTGAGCTATCACCGAACTTTTTTGATTGTAGGTTGCGCGATACTCAACGTACCAATCGACAGAAAATTTACCCATCCACCTGACACAGTTTGCTGATGACTTCCACCTGTCTCCAGACCTAAGGTACTCTATTTTGACATATCAGTACTCCATCGCTGCCCATATTCAGCAATGGAACTCTCGTCTCTTTGGTTTCAGTCTTGAGCTCCCCTCCGTCCACCTGGACGGATCGAGGCCCTTTAGCCTGCCACCGAGGCGTGGCAGTACCGATGGCCCATCTCTCTCGGACGCACCGACTTCGTTTCTCTGGGAGGCTCCTAGCAGCAATGCTGTCCTTATACTAGGCGACAAGTGGGTCGAGCTCCATGGATTCGTATCCAAGGTTTTAGTCATCCAGAGTGGCATGGCTGGAACCCCTCGCCTCCTGGCCGAGAAGCTAGTCAGTAAACGGCAACCTGCATGGCTGGAACAAGCCCTGCGACTGTGTCGCGCACGTGGCTACCTGACCTTATATCCAAGCCGAGAGACTTCTTCGCAACTCGTCACGGTCCACACCGAGACGTATGTACCACCGGAGGAGTACGCAAACGACGTGCCGAAAGGTACTGGCAGACACGCTGCCGATTCTAGCGACGGGGTATCAGCACACTCGAGAGCCCCGCTGTTAGACATACTGCACGATGGCGGCGAGCTGCCTCAGTTGTACGATTTGCCCATGGTCTCATGGGATGGGGCCCCGACCGAATCTGCGGGTTTGGATGACAGAGCCGCGAAATACGCCGCTGATTTCCGGCGAGAGGTTGGCGGGTGCCTCAACGACCGCTCTGGACTTCCGCAGGATAGGTCGGCTGCAGACCTCTTCTGCGGGCCGCGAAAGCAGCACCACGTGTGATTATCAAGGACGGGCGTGCTTCAAAGGCACTTGCGTTGGCTTCAACCTTTCTTGATACCCTTTGCCTTGCTGTACTTCTAATTCCATAATTACTTGTTTCCTTGGGGGTACGAGCACGTCCTGGTGGGTAGAATGCAGGGTCATGTATATCGCACTCATCATGGGTGCCATCGCTACCGGCCATTTTCGACGAGCCTGTTGATGACCAACAGCGTCACGCACGTCCCAACTATCACAAACACAATCGCTGTCAAGATCTGTTATAACAGCGTGGTTAGTTTACGCGGGAGGGACAGAAGGTGGATACCGTCCGAGACTTGGTTTCATTCTTTGCCGTTCTTCGTCCGGGATACATACCCCTTGAGTTTTCCAGCCGGTTTGGACCAGCGCTGCCCTGCGGCCGTACTTGTTCACGGTCCCTGTGTGTTAAAAAAAAAAACAGGCATGTCAGTGTCAAATAGGAGAAATTAGTCCGACACGGAATGATATCATCTGTGGTGGCGTGACATCTGGCAGGGCGGTTGTTAGGTTTGGTGGTGCACGTACTGATGTAGTTGGCCAGCCCGAGCGCGAGGCACGCGACCGACAGGGCCCAAAACACGAGGCCGAGCGGCTTAGCCATACGCAGCTCGATGGCGCTCGGCTCGTTCTTGAGGTGGAAGGACATGACGATGGCGGAGCTGACGAGAGCCATGAACATGGCCAGGCGGAGGTAAGAGAGGAAGGCTGTATTTTGTGTAACGGAAACATACCGTCTAGTCAGAAAAGCCACATCATATCCCGCTTCGGGGGAAAGGGAAAAGGGGAAGGGGGAGGAGGGCGCACTCCGCTCGTTGGCGCAGTGGTCGCGGCAGTCGCTCGTCTGGTTCTCGAACAGCAGGGGGCCCAGGAAGGGCCAGGCGCCAAAGGCGGCGCCCTCGTCGCCACCGCCGCCGCCGCCGCCCCTCGTCCGCCGGCGCACCCCGAAGTCGCCGACGTCGATGGGCCGCGTGAGGTCCTGGAGCGCCGCGCGCGCCGGGGCGCAGCACGTGACGGCGGCGGCGGTCTGGTCCTCCTCGTCCACGTCGGCGCAGGTCGCGTCTTGTCGCCTGGGATCCATTTCTGGCGGGTTGGGAGTGATTACATAGATAGGTAACTATGGAGAGATATTATTCACCACAGCAAATTACTGTGTTTGAAGACGCTGACACAATGAATGCTGGTATGGAAGGAATATTGTCCCTACCACATGACGGAAGCACGGCTTTGGCGTCATGGGTGTTACCTTTCGGTGGACCCCGCACGCTTTCATGTCACCTTCACAGCCTGGGATCGACAGTTCCGTGATCGGCCCCTTTTGTTCCAGTTCCCGGAAGGGATTGAGCTCACAACCATCTGCACAAAGTAGAGATAAAAGGAAAGTTTATTTGCTTTGATGATGTGGTACAGTCTACTACAGCCTCGTCCCAAATCCATTTATCCTGCATCGCTGCCTTCCGAAGAGTATGGGAAGCAAGTTGAAAACGGAAAAAATAAGGAGAAGAGCCCCGCCCGGTCATGGTATCTACAGCTTCTCAATAATGGCGCCGGCATACTCGTGGGTCTTGGCCTTGCCGCCCAGGTCGCCCGTCAGGGCCTTGCCCTCAGCCAGCGTGTCAAAGGTGGCCTTCTCGATGCGGTTGGCGTACTCGCCGAGCCCCATATGCCTCAGCATCATCATGGAGCTCAGGAGGAGCGCGGTCGGGTTGGCCAGGCCCTTGCCCGCAATGTCGGGAGCCGAGCCGTGCACGGCCTCGAAGATGGAGCACTCGTCACCGATGTTACCCGAGGGCGTCAACCCCAGACCGCCGATCAAGCCGGCGCACATGTCTGACAGAATGTCGCCGTACAGGTTGGGCATGACCAGGACCTTGTCGTTGTAAGGGACCGGGTCCGTCACCATCTTGAGGCACGTGTTGTCGAGCAGCTCGGCATCGAACTGGATGCCGGGGAAGTCCTTGGCGACCTCCCTACCCACACTAAGGAAAAGGCCGTCGCTCATCTTCATAATGGTGGCCTTGTGCACGACGAGCACCTTCTTGCGACCAATCTCCTGCGCCTGCTGGAAGGCGAACCGCAGCACGCGCTCGCTGGCCTCGCGCGTGATCAGCTTGATGCTCTGCACCACGCCGTCAACCACCACGTGCTCGATGCCCGAGTACTCGCCCTCCGTGTTCTCACGGATGAGCACCGTGTCGACGTTGTCGTAAGGCGTCTTGTAGCCGGCAACAGACCGGCAGGGCCGCAGGTTGGCGAAGAGGTTGAAGGTGCGGCGGAGCGTCAGGTTGAGGGAGACGTGGCCCTTGCCGATCGGGGTCTGAACGGGCGCAAACGAGAAATATGATCAGCCAAGCCGCCCGCCTTGACAGGACACTCAATTGTCTCCCTAAACAGTCACACTTACAGCCAGGGGGCCCTTAAGGGCAACCTTGTTCCTCTGGATGCTTTCAATGGCAGCATCGGGGATAGCGGTCCTGCCGTGTTTGAGGATGGGGGTAACATCAACCGGCTCCCACGAGATCGGCGCCTTTTCCACACATTGCATTCATTAGCTAGGTCCGTCTTGCCGCCTTGAGCAGTCGAGTAAGTTTGCGCTTGGGTTAAGTGCATCGTACCTTGGCGGCCTCGAAAATCTGCTTGACAGCGTCCGAGATCTCGGGGCCAATGCCGTCACCCTCGATCAAGCTAACGGGGTAGCGACCCTGTGCGCAAAGTTAGCGCCCGTTGTTATTGTCGCTCGAGCTGTCGGGTCGGTGCCGTCGTCGTGGTTGTGTTGTGGAGCATCGATGCTTGGATGAGCTATTTCCCCCGGCCCGGTCGCAGCCGGGGTAGCGAGCTGGAGAATATCGAGAATTGCGGCGCCGCCGCCAAAGGAGGGGTGTGCTTACAGAGGCGCCCTTCTGGCCGGTGAATTTGGCGACCTTGTCGCTGTAGTATCTCCGGTTCTGTGGTCGTTCGCACGTTAGCAAGCCGGGACCAGGAGCAAGCGAGGAGGGACCTTGGCCGGCGGCAGGTGCTCACATGCAGAGAGATAGTGGCGGCGGCCCGGGGAGCAGCTAGCGGCAATTGGCGCGCCGCAGGCGCAGCGGCGACTCTTCGAAGGGCCAGCATGGTTGTGGAGGGGAGCACTGGGCAGGCGCTCCGTTGAGGATATGGATAGGCCGGGGATGGGGCGGAGGGGAAGCTATACGTAGTCGTGGTTTAGGCCAAAGGCAGGTAGGCAAAGAAAAAAAACATTGATTTTTAGATGCGGTTATTTTCCGGTGCCATTGGACAAACTGGAACTTCGCGGCAAGACATCGGGCGCGGGCGGATATCTGCATGGAGCAAGGTGGGGCATCTCAAGCGCAGCCGACGGCTACGACTGGCTTTTGCTGTGCCGCGGCTGCGGGCTGCGGGTTTGGACGGAGGCGACCTGGCCGTAGTGCTGGGGGTCACGGTGCCAGCCACACTGGACGGACGACTTGGACGAAGGGAGCTGTGGCGCAACAATGATACTATGATGGCCCGTGCGCTGCTCTTATCAATCAGTGGGTATAGGGCGCCGCCCCCACGCCGTAGCCTGTCATTCAAGTGTAACGGTTGTCGTAGCTTATAGAATAAAAGACAGCGTCCCTTCCACGCAGCCGGAGCACACCATGCAATTACCAAGGTATACCCATCTAGGCACCTAATACATATCCTCGCCCAATAACGAGTACGGTGCGTCAATGGGTCGGCAGCAGACAAACATCAGGCAACAAGCAACCGGCTCGGTTTGTCGTGTGTCGAGTTGGGACGGATGACGGACTCGCACAGAAATCCATACAAAAATAAGCCGTGGCAATGGAGATTCAACAGCTGGCCCGGATGTGATTCCCATGCACAAAAGGACGCCTGTGGACGCCTATGTTACCCCTGGACACAGCAAAGCGGGGGTGGAGTAGGACGATGTGAACAATGCTGACTAACACGCGGCAAGGCGCATGAGAGTGGGCTGCATGCGCTTAGCTCCGTTCAGACTTGGACCAAGTTGCTTCACCTGGTTCGGGTTCCTGCCTCGACCAGGAAGCCATGATCACAAGACGCGGAACTGGAGCGGCCGTCTAGAAAAGTGAGCTGGGTTTCTTCTTCTCTTGTATTTCAAACCAACTTTCCACGTCTTGCCCGCCACTACTCGCCGCCACGATGGCCGACTTCGAGAGGACGGTAATGGAACATTACCAGATCCCAAGCTTATACCCTGTAGAATGGCCCGCCGAAAAGAACACCAGCGATGCATCCGACGATGACGATGGCGTCGACCCCGCCAAGAAAAAGGCAGCCAGGCTGAACCGGAGAAAGTCCAAGTACCATGCCCTGGAGCGTGCCGTCAGCAATCGCGGCAGCCTCCCTCCCGGCTCCGAGAAGACGGCCAATGGCGTGGGGAACCTCGTCCAGAAGGATGAGCCAGATCCCCTGGGCACTACCGATAGTGTCGTCAGGACCCTCAAGCAGTATGGCCTGCCGCTGCAGAGCGACCCCAAGCTGCGTAAGTTGCCACAAGGACTGTCCATGCCGTCGGCACGTACTGAGACTGCGAGGGCTGGCGTCGCTGATCATCTGCCCAACTGTCTACCTAGGAAACCGGTTCCTCCTGTCCTCGACCACATTCTCTCCCGCCCTCTTCCTTTCGCAGATGCACGCCACAGCCGATACGCAACAGCTCCTAATGGGACTTGATACACTATCGCAGTCCATCGACCAGAAGTCGGCCTCGCTCAAGGTCCTCGTCGAGTCCAACTTCGAGCGCTTCGTGCGCGCCAAAGCCACGATTGACAATGTCTACAAGGAGATGAAATACCGCGGTGCTGAGCCGCCCCCGCCCCCATCTCCGCGCGCTCGTGCCCATTCACGCAATGCTAGTAGGAACAGCTTCCGGGCCGGTAGCATCTCCCTTGCTGCCCCACCAGTGCTCCAGCCCTCGGACCCGAGGAAGAAGAACGCGCTTGTCAAGGAGAGCGAGTACGGGGTTGTGGGCATCAAGACCCCTCTGCTCGAGGTGTCAGCCAAGGCCGAGGACGTCTGGGGTCCCGCGCTGGGCGGCCGCGAGAAGGAGGAGAATCTGAAGACGGTCGCGAACTCGCTTGGCAGGTTCCGCGAGTACGTCGAGACAAGCGCCGCCATCGCCGACGCTATCAAGAGAAAAGACCACGAGACACTTGTTGAAGAGTACTCCAAGGCGAGGAGATTCGCCGACGAGGCCAAGCGCCTCATCCAGGAGCTGGGCTCGGAGCAAGCTAGCGATTCGCAGCTGTATCAAGTCCTCCTCGCCGGCCGTATGTGGCACGACGTTGAGGAACAAATCTCCGCCTTCAAGCGTGTCGTGTGGCGCAAGCTAGTTGCTCTGCACAACGTCACCAAGTCGGACGTGCCAGGGCAGCCGCAGGACCAGCACATGGAGCTCATCAGCCTGCTGCTCGAACTGGGCGTCGAAGACAACCCCATATGGGTGTGGCTGCTCAGCCGCTACGACCATCTCAAGGGGAAAATACAGGCCTATGCAGACCGGACAAAGGTGGAGATTGAGCTGCTCAGGCGGCGCCTGTCAAGTGTCGATCGACCTGCCCCTCAGACCATCGCCTCGTACCTACGCGCGCTGGGCCGACAGTCCGTAGACGTCAAGGCCTCCAACTATGACTCGGCCGAGGTGGTGGAGCTCTGGGAGAAAGTGCTGTCGTTCCTGAGCGCTCTACTGTCTCCGCAGGGCATCCTCGGAGAGGTTGTCGAGTTCTGGCAGACGGTCGAAGGCTTCATGGAGGGCAGGACGCAGCGCAGCCTCCCGACGGGCTACAACGGCGAGTCACAGGTACACCACATCCTGACTCAACCTGGCACTGTGAATCTGCAGAAGGGCACCGTCGAGCTGGTTGAGATGCTGCGAGAGCACGTCTTCATCTTCTTCGCCGGCCCGCCCCCTGAGGATATCTCGTTGCTGTTCTCTCCTATGCCCCTGACTCCCAAGACGCCCATGTCGACGTCTCTGGTTGGCGCTCTGACTCCGTCTGCCATGCGAGATCCGAGGTTCAATCTTGACGCGAACAACCCTCCCCCTCCGTCGCCCAAGCGAGGCGAGGCGTGGGAGAAGTTCGCATTTTGGCCACCGTGGTCCAACTCACTTAGCGGCGTGCATTATCTAGCCAAGATGCTTGCCCTAGTAGGCTCCGGAGCATCCGACATGGCAGCCATCGCGCCTGTGGGGCGTGGTGGCGACGGCCAGGAGCTCGAGTTACTCAAGACTCTGATCAACGTCTCTCGCGAACGCTGCGTGACGGCGCTCTGCGCCGCATGGAACAAGGATGCTGAGAGCATCAAATACGTTGAGGACTGGAATCGCTCCCCGGACCGCCGTGATGTGACGCGCATGCCTGCCTGTTTCTCCTCGTTCGAGGGCTCTCTGCTCGGCGGCATGCAGAAGATACTGTACATCTCCGAGGCCACCGCCAAACCTGGGTCCGAGGACATAGTAACGGCACCGCCGGCGAAATTGCTGCAGATGGTGCGCAGCCAATATGTGACAACACTCTACAAGGCCCTGAGCGGTATGGTGGAGAATGCAGAACGATCTATCAAGAAGTCGGACGACGACTGGACCACCGAGGGTGACAGTCACACTGTCACCAGCACCTCAGGTCAGCGCTCTACCAGCAGCCTGGGTATGAGCATGGGAGGTGTGGCCGTCAAAGCCGGAGACAGGGTAAGGCCAGACCGTTTATTCAAGCTCCCATTCTGCCGCCTGAACCCGCCGCTGACAAGAAAAACCATGTGATGAACAGAATGTGAGGATGCTGCTCACGCTAAGCAACCTTCAGTGTCTGCGGTCGGAGCTTGTGCCGTCGCTCAACACCCAGTTTGAAAACGCCTTCTCGGTGAAGCTGACAGACGAGACCAAGACGATCCGCGACGTGTTGGGGCAGATCGACGCGCGGCTGTTCCAGTCGTACACACGGCCGTCAATCGAAACACTCCGGTCCATCATCCGGTCCGGGGTGGCGGCGGCTGACTGGGCGCCAGCGGACGGGGCCAAGCCGCGGGAGGCGCGGCCGTACGTATACGAGGTGCTACTGACGCTAGTGCTAGTGCACTCGCAAGTGTCGACGACAGCGAACTCGCTGACGACGCAAGTGCTCTCGTACCTGCTGGAGCAGACGTCGCGCGAGCTGCTCGAGGCCTTCAAGACGCGGCCCCGCTACGACCTCTCGACGCTGCTGCAGGCGGCGCTCGATGTCGAGTTTGCGGCCCAGACGCTGCAGCACTACACGACGCAGCGCGCAAAGGACCTGCAGAACCAGATCTACCAGGAGATCGAGTCCCGCTCCGACCGCGACGCCGTGCTCAAGATGCAGGGCGAGCTGCCCGGCCTACGGGACCTGCTCAAGCGCCTGCGCGACGCGAGCAAGAACGAGTTTGCTTGCTTCAAGAAGGTCAAGCGGAGAGACTCGGCCAGCAGCAACGGCGGCGGCGGCGAGCGCAAAGGCTCGGCGGGCAGCATTACTGGTGTTTGACAGGCCAGGACCGACTCGTCTGTCTCCTTGTAGGTCCCTATCTATATGTAGCGAGCGAGGCTGCGCAAACGTTTTGGATCTGCGCCTACCTATTCGGCGTCTCGGGCTCTCCCTTGATATCCATGTTCCCGTTCAGAAGGAACCCCATTTTTGATTATACCCCAACCATGCACGTTTGCGTCCTGCATCCGTCGAAGAACGAGAACAGCAAGGTTTAAATACCATAGACGAGTCTTCCCAGCTCGTAATCAACGAATAGACCGCAAAAGTTGCCGCCCGAGTGAGAGGCCATGATAGACAATCTAGGGAATCACAACGCCGTGGGTATTATGGTCTTTCTAGGTCTCGTGTTTGTCCATCATTCATTCATCCCGATACGTGAATCCGACACATAGCAAGGCTCGACCGCCGCCAGAAGAGAAAAGAAAAACACCCAATGCGTGGTTAGTGTCAGCAAGGAAAACGCCACACAGGTTCAGGTGCCAATTAATTATAAACAGTCCAGTATCCGATGCCCAATAAAGCCACAAGGCTCCCGCCTCGCAGAAAAGAGGCGTCTCATAAGAATAATATTTGACAGCCCGGCTTGTTCCCCTTGTAGCAATATACTAGGATACCCGTAGCGGTCAGGCAGATATAGGGTATTCGCAAGTGTTGTGGTAGGAAGGCCATTTGACTCGTAAGATCGTGGGAGACAGGAAGGAGAGGGTAGCAGGGAGGAGAGACAGCGTGTACAGGGTGCCACCAGTTACGGGGAGAGCACTCTGCTGAGCTGCGTCACTCCCCATTGGAGAGCAGCAGCGTTGAGCAGAACAAAAGTTCGAGCGATCGAGAGTCGGTTGGGGAGAAGATTGGATTTTCTTGCTTTGCTTGGACTTCGGCATCTTTGCGAATATTGGTGATTGTGTCAGTAAGAATAGCGCCTCACTCGGGAGCAGACGAGAGATGGGCAGATGGCACGGAGATGCCTCACATTTGAGATCAAGATCGTGAAAATACTCGTGCAATGCAGGCTCCTGTGTGGCAAGCATCCCGCCTGGCTCCCTGCAGAAGGTTCGAGGCAGCACTTTCCTGATGCCGAGGAGCATTTTGAGGAGGTCTGCAAGTATATATCCTTGCTGGGTAAAGCTCACTGGGGCCTTCTCGAGCGGCCACATAGGCTGCAGAGTGTCCTGCTCCCACGCCTTGAACGCCCACGTTGTCTTTTCGATACAGTTGAGTAGGATGAGGGTTGTGAAAAACATGTTGTGGTCAATCTTGGTCTTGCTATCCTGAAGCACTCGCTGCATGCCCGTCAGGAGCTGCTTGCTGGTCTGGGCTGCCTTCCTTTCGGCCGCGGCCGTCAGCTGGAGGCAGACGGTTGTGAAGCAATCCTGGTCTGTGTTGTCTCTGATCCAGCGCGTCTTGCCCTCGGGGCCGCCGTACCGAGCCAGGATGTGCCACTGTCGTTCACGGTCGAGAATCTCAACCAGCCCCCACAGCTCTATGGCCTTTTTGAGGAGCTCGTCCTGCGTCTTGTGGCTGAGGCTGAGGGCGGTATTTAGGGTGATGCGAGCGAACTTTGACTTTTCTCGTTCCACAAACTCGTGCAGGACCTTCCGCATATACAGTTCCACCTTGGCCTGCACGTCTTCCTTGTCCGAGTCGATCATGAGAAGGTCTTGTTTAGCCCAGGGTGTCGACGGGGCGCCAGATTCGTCCGTCAGGCATTCCTTGGGGCCCGTGCTCTGCAGGGCGTGGACTGTGAAATTGAAGTTGCTCTCGGGGAAGATTGAGAGCTCAAGAACAGTCCCCTGGTCGGCGAAATCAACGTGAGCCTTCAGATCGTTTAAGCGGTGCTGGTTGAGCACGATCTGCACGCCGGCCGAGTATAAATCCAGCTGCTCTGAGAACTTGGTCCTGACGCAGCCTGACTTCCAGATGCGGGGGGACAAAACCTTCCTACAGGTGTCGCAGGGGTGCCCTCTCGAGCATGTCTTCCGCAGAATCCTGCATCGTATACAAGCTCCAATCTTGCGCACCTCCTGCACCTCTTTACGCCGGTGGGCGTCGAAGCGCGAGCGAGAGTGTCGGGCTTTGCCGCTGTTGGGGCTCGACAAGCGGAAGCCACCCTTGACCATCATCTGGGGACCCAGGAGAGAGTCGGCTGCTTGCGAGGCGCGCATGGAGATTGCGAGCGCGTCAGACTGTGTGAGTTCGCCCCATGGCTGTTGCTGGGTCACGTCCGTACCGTCCTCCATCACAATGTCCCCCTGAGGGACCTCAGTGGACTGTAGAATAGCGAGCGCGTTGGTTTCGCGGAGCTGCGGGTCTAAGAGTTGCGGATTCAGCCTTGCGGTTGCTGCTGCAGCTACGCTGAGGGCTGTAGAATGAGAGGCAGGCTCCGAGGACTGGAGAAGCGCGTGAATCTGCTGCTCGGCAGTCAACTCTTCCCTGTCCACATCAACTGGAGGCGACCCAGTTGCAGCGTCTTCGCCCTGTGCGACGTGCTCTTGGAGTGGTACAGCACCAGCCTCCTCCTTGAAACCCACGGCTCCGGGGTCAACCGCCACGAAGTGGTCTTGGGCGTCGAAGCGGTCGGCGACTTCGGCGCCGATATCTGCTGTGGTGAGGACGCCGGCGGGGATGCCTCGGTCGTCATGCTTCTCGCTCAGATCGATCTGGCGCGACACCTCGGCGAGCGTCTCAAGCGCGGTCCAGTCTCGCTGGGTCAGGTCGTGGTCAGGGGGCGGCGCGTCGGCGGGCGGACGGGCGGGAGTCGAGTGGACGGGAACGGGCTTGGTGCCCTGCTCGGCGGCGGCCTTGGTGAAGCCATGGATGGTGAGGCAGGCCCTGACGCGGTCGCTCTCGGAGATTGCGGGGCACTTCCTGGTCAGGTGGGTAGTGAGGCTGTCGATGCGGCCCTTAGGGAAGTTCTCGCCGCAGGACTTGCACGTGTGGGGATAGCGGTTGCTGTTGTCGGCCAGCTTGGGGCCGCGCTCGAAGAACTGGAGAATCAGGGCGTTCGGTTTACGGCCCATGGTGGCGGTGCCCGCGTCGGCGGCGGGCAGTTGCCGTTGGCTTGGAGGTCCCGATTCACCGTCACCTGGTCAGGGCGGCAGGCGGGAACATGAAGGGGCGGCGATGGGTGGAAAGGGGAGGCGGCGCGGCACGACAAATACCAGGGCAGTACCTAGAGACGCCTAGATACCTACCAGGGAGTCAGGTAGGTAGGTAGGTACCAGCCAATGCGGCTAAGCAACGTCGAGCTCGCTCCGGGTCTAGTACGAGCCAACTCCCGCCCAACAGCCAGCCCCCGCAGTGATGCGCCTGGACAGGAGTGCAGCACTGGCACCCCCGCGGCACTGCTGCAATTGGCGGATGCGGTACCAGCACCGCCCTTGGAGACAATCACGCCCGCACACCTGGCGGGAGCCTCGATGGAAGCCCGAATGCAGAGGCTGCGTTGTGCGACGAAAGGTGGCTGTTTGTTGCGGTCTGGTATTTTTTCCTGGGCTGGTCGTGAAAAGGCCGGCAGAAAAGAAGTCGGTGTGGCGGCTCTTGGGGAGGTGTGGGTTGGCAAGGCCTGGGAGCGGGATGCGGTGAAGGTTTGACGTGTCCGGGTGGGGGGGCATTGGCTGCACCAGAGTGGCGGCCCCAGGCTCTCACGTGCCAAAGCCAGTCTCTGCGCCTGTCCAATTGCCAGGCTGCTGGATTTGGAAAATGGCGGGGCACCATCCACCTCCAGATAAAAGAAAGGACGAAAAAAAAAAGCCACCGGCACTTGCTCAAAGCGTCGCACAGCAGGGATGCAGTGTGACCCCACTGAAATTTCTCAGCCCGGGCAGCCGCATCGGATGGTCATAGCAACTGGGGACGGCTTCGGATTCCAATCCCGTGCTTGACGAACTTTCTGCCGCTCAAGCTTTTCGTTTCTCCGTTGACTAGAAAGGGCGTTAGAAGGACCAGCTCAGCAGCCCTAGGTTCTGCTCATAAGCGAGCGTCGCCCAGAGCTAGACTTGCTGTTCGCACGCCCTCCCCCTCAACCGGCCGCAGATTTCCGCGCTCTCGGCGCACGCCCTCTCCCGCCCGTCAACGGCAGGCAACGGCAGGCAACGGCAGGCAACTCACACAACGGCGCCATGGCTGCCGCTTCAAATTCCATCAAGCTGCTCAGCGGCAACTCGCAGTATGCGAAACATCCCCATGCCCCATGCGCCCTGTCCGTCCGCCCCACTGGTGACCGTAGATGGTGCTAACCTGGCTCGAAACATATTAGTATGCTGCTGGGCCGGCTGGTTGGCGACCGGTATGTGGTTCATGACACTTCACCCCTGGGGGGTCTCCTCGGCCTTGTTGATGGGCCAGGCTTGCCAGTCGTCCAGACAGTCTGACATCTCGTGCCCCTCCCCGCAGCCTTGGTATCGAGATTGCAAAGACTATGAGCCTGAACTACTCAAATCAAGAGACGAGCGTCACGATCGGCGAGTCTGTCCGAGACGAGGATGTTTTCATCATCCAGTCCACCATGCCCGGCGACATCAACGACGGTTAGTTCTCCTCTCGCTCTGGCAGTCTCTGGATTGACACCGGGAAAGCCGTCCACTAACACGCAGTCTCCTTCGCGCTAGGGCTGATGGAGCTGCTCATTATGACCCATGGTATGCTTCCTGTTTCTCGCCAGAGCATGTTCACACATCAGCCATGGCCTCGCTGACGCCCCAAAAGCCTGCCGGACAGCATCTGCTCGGAGGATCACATGGTGAGCCTGGCGTTGCGGCTACGGCCATTGCCATCTCGGGAATCCTTTCCCTCGCTGACACGGAAGGTTCTATCTATTTCAAGTGTCCTACCGAACTTTCGTAAGTTGAGCCTACTAGGGGCCTCGTGATGCAGCTTTTCGTGTGACACACAGATCCACTAACCTCCTAACAGCCTACGGTTAGTTTCCCCAGCTTCCTGTAGGCTCGAGATCAGATCTTAACATCCACTTAGCACGGCAGGACAAGAAGGACCGGTCTAGAGGTACGTGTGCAATGTTTCCAAAGCCTCGCCTGCCACCTAATACATGATTACTAACTCGTGTCGACTCCCACAGCCCCTATCTCGGCCAAGCTGATTGCGTAGGTTCCTTTGGTCTGGCCCTATGAAACCCACATATACTAATACGGGGTGACTATAGGAACATGATTGTATGTGGTCTCCCAGCGAAGTCATACGATTGGATCGCCTTGCAACCGTGCTGACCTGCTTGACAGCAAACTGCGGGATGCAACCACGTCATTACCATGGATCTGGTAGGTCTGAAAGCTATGCAAATGACAGTAGACGAAGGTGGTTGAGTACTAACTCGCCCGCAGCATGCATCTCAAATCCAGGGTTTCTTCAACATTCCGGTTGATAACCTCTACGCTGTAAGTGCCACTCAACCACTACCTGTTTGGAGAATTAGGCACGAGAATTGACCGGAAAAAGGAGCCATCTGTCCTCCGATGGATCAGGGAGAACCTGCCAGTCGAGAAGTGTGTCATCGTTTCGCCTGACGCCGGTGGAGCGAAGCGAGCGACTTCAATTGCCGACCGGCTGGACCTTGGCTTCGCTCTCATTCACAAGTAAGTCCCCTACACATCGAGGCCTGCTTGAGATTGCGTTGTTAATCTGGGTAAAAAAATAAACAGGGAGCGCCCGCGACCGAACGTCGTAGGCCGGATGGTCCTCGTCGGTGATGTCAAAGACAAGATTGCCATCCTGGTCGACGACATGGCAGACACCTGCGGCACCCTGAGCAAGGCCGCTCAGACGGTGAAGGAGCACGGAGCGGAAGAGGTGGTGGCAATAGTGACTCGTCAGTGGTGTTCTCATCCCATCTCTCACTGTCAGCAGACATGCTAACGCCCGATTTCCCCCTATAGACGGAAGTATGTCTCCTTGACGCGATAATCACGGCGTTCAAGCTGGCTGCCCACTGGCTTGGATTCCCCATAAGTGCTCTTGTGGCAGAGAAGCGAAAGTAGCTGACCCAAACGCCCCGTGCGCAGTTCTGAGCGGCGACGCCATCGACAACCTGAATAAGTCATGCCTGTCTAAGGTGGTTGTCACCAATGTATGTGAAGCTCCCATGGAATCCTGGCCTGGAGCTGTGCGAGTGCGGATACTAACCCGTGTTGCCATCAGACTGTTCCTCTGGGGAACAAGGTCGACCTTTGCCCCAAGCTTCGAGTCATTGATGTCTCAGCCACGATTGCCGAGGTGAGCGAGAACATGCCCAGCCGGTTGTTTGCCTTGATCATGCTTTGATTCTAACGAGATCGACTAGGCGATCCGGAGAACACACAATGGAGAGAGCGTCAGCCACCTCTTCACGCACGTTCCGGTGTAAGGTAGAAGCAGCGATCACCGGGCAGTTTGCGGGGGAGGACAGTGATGCTTGGCTGGGTGCCTTTCACTAAGTGCAAGTACCTTCCCGGTACCCAAGTGTCTGTCTTGTTTGATGGATAGATGTCCGCCGTCTTTTTGGGATACATGAGGACGGCTTTTGTTTGCATTGATTTTTTATTGTTGTTTACCTTATGAAGGACAGAAACTCAAAAGGCTTAGCCGTCCCTCTGGTGTCGTTTGAGGGTGCACATCAACCCTTTTACCTGTCTGTCGGATTCTCATGGCTCTCCATGAAGCCTCGTGCATGCCCAGGGTGCTTGGACTGACCGAATACGATACTTAAATACAGGTAACCAACAATGGATAACTCATTGGCAACTTTCCCCATGCTTGTACCCCTAATTTCCCGACAGTGCCGACCTGGAGCTCCCAGTCTTTGGGAGCTGAATGGCATTGTGTGGAGCCTCCACGCGCTAAAGTTCCAGCTGAACAGTGCTGTCCTAGGGTGGAGCAGTGTGGCCCCAGGTGCGGGTCACAGTCGGCGTGATAAGAAGCTCCGATAAGATGGCCCTAAACTAGGTATGCGCAGGCCAATTCGGCACATGAGCACGCGTTTACCTGGGTCGGAATCTAGCTCCCAGAAACGCCGTCTCACCACCGCCAACTTCGGTTTGCTCCCGAATCCGACGAAATCCTTTCCGCCTGCTGCCGCCCATCGACAATCGGTTCCTCTATCATTCCCTCCGAGAACCGCGCCTCCATGCTTCGGTCTGTTCTCTGAACTGGGTTGGTCGGCGTCGCCGCGATTCGCGCTCCTGGGCTCGCAGCCCGCGTCCTTTCCCGCAATGCTGTTCCCGGAGCAGGACGCTCCGCTGGTCAAGGCATGGATCGTCAAGCGCCTCGAGAATACGTCGGTATCCCCTCGCTATCTTTGCCCCGGCAGGCGCCCTGGCGCAGAAAGCAGCCGTGTATATCACGTTGCGATGGGCAGGGTTCTGCGAGTTGGTTGTGACTGACAGCGCGAGTGTTTGGGCTCTCTAGATCGGATGCCGACATTGATGTTCTGGCCGACTACGTCCTTGCCCTGCTAGGCCACGACGGATCCGCCCAGGAGGTGCGCGAGAACTGCGAGAAGGAAATACCGGATTTTCTCCAGGAAGGTACGAGCTATGCTGGGACTGAGCCTCTTGGGTGCTCTTGGCCGGCGCATTACTGATCGCGCGCCTGCACAACCTTAGATGCCACGGTTTTCCTCGATGACGTGTTCGCGGCCCTTGCCTATAGGTCCTATCTACCCGGCGCTCCTCCCGCGCCCAAGGTTGCACCACCACAGCCGCAACCCCCTGCAGCGCCGCCGTCCGGGCCCCGCTACCCCGCCGCCCTGTCCGGCGCCGCCCCGGCCTTTGCGCCTCAGACCGGCTCGAGGAAACGCTCGTACCACGACCGCGGCGACACCGAGTCTCGCGCCGGACCCGGGGACCGCGGTGGCTTCGGCGGTAGGGCCACGAAACAGCCACGCCGTCAAGGCTACGGCAATGCCCCTTCGGCCTACAATAACGGAGCCGCGCCTGGGCCCTTCCAGTCACATGGGTTCCCTCCCGCCGGCTTGCCATCCGCCGAACTGGAGTACGACCCCATGTCGCTGATGCCTCCGATGGACGCCCTCCTCCCCGGCTTCCATCCGCCCCCACCCGGCGGCTTTCCTCCTGGCGCGCCACACTTCCCTCAATCTGCCAAGGGTCAGGGCTCGAGAAGAAGACGTTGTCGGGACTATGATGCGCAAGGATTCTGTACGAGGGGCAACACATGTCAGTACGAGCATGTGCCCTCGGTGGGCTATGGTGCTTCTGCATCCGCAGCACAGGGTCAGTTTGGTGGTGAGTAACAGCCTGAGGCCCTATCACCAAGTACAGACCCTTGCTAACGAACCAATCATGGACACGCAGGGTACGATCCCACAAACTCTTCATTACTCCTCCCCGAAGGGCAGTCTCATATGCCAGCGCAATTGCCCGGCTTCCCATCTTTCCCTGGTGCCTTTGATCCCAGGCTTGGCCAAGGCCGCCATGGAAACGGGCAGGGGAGGGGCGGAAGGAAAAATGGGTATCGCTCGCAGCTGTCTGCCGATGGGCCCTCGCACGACAAGAGCAAGACGACTATTGTCGTGGAGAATATTCCCGAGGAGAAGTTTTCCGAGGACGAGGTTCGCGGCTTCTTCTCCCAGTTTGGAAACATCGTGTCCGTATCCATGCAGCCGTACAAGCGACTGGCGCTTGTCAAGTTTGCCAAATGGGGCTCGGCCAACGCGGCCTATAGATCCCCCAAAGTCATATTTGACAATCGGTTTGTGCGCGTTTTCTGGCACAAGGAAGACGGCTCTACGCTTCCGGCACCCGTCCCCCTCGGCGGCTCTAACGGTTCCAACGGCTCCAACGTGTCCAACGGTACGGCAGGCGTTGACGCTAAGGACGGCGCCGCCAACGGTCAGGACGAAAGCAACGGTGAACATGCTGAGCCTGATGTAGACATGGAGGAGTTTGTCCGCAGGCAGGAGGAGGCGCAAAAGGCGTTCGATGAGAAGAAACGCAAGAAGGAAGAGGTGGAGCGCCAGCGCCAGGAGCTCGAAGAGCGGCAGAAGGAGCTACTTGCCAAGCAGCAGGCCGAGAAGGAGAAGCTCAAGGCAAAGATGGCCGCGGCGGGTCACACGGGCAAGCAGGACTCGTCTCCCGAGATTACGTTTTCCAAACTGTCGGGGCCCACGTCGGACAAGGGCGGCGGCCGCACCGACGCGCTGCGGGCCCAGCTCGCCGCGCTCGAGGACGAGGCCAGGTCCATGGGGCTGAACCCGAACGAGATGGACGAGGCGCCCGCCTGGGGCGCTCCGCCGCCCCTCCGCGGCCGCGGCGGCTACCGGGGTCGTGGGCGCGGAGGCTATGCTCCCCCATGGGCCGGATATCCGCCCAGGGGAGGTGGTGGGTTCCGGGGCAGGGGTGGCGGCCACCACGCCGCCTACGCCGCGTACTCTCTGGATCACCGGCCCAAACGGGTTGCTGTTTCAGGCGTGGACTTTTCTGACTCCGACAAGGACGAGAAACTGCGCCACCACCTTCTTGTGAGTGCCTTCCTTTGCTGCCGACAACTGGTGACACAAGCGAGGCCCTCCTTTGGAACACCTACTGACTGGTAGCTTAACAGGGCGTCGGAGAGTTCAAGGACATCCAGTGCGAAAAGGGTGTCGCGCGCGTCACGTTTAACGACCGGCGAACCGCCGAGGCCTTCTTTAATGGCGTGTCGAGCGGTGGCGGGATACTAGGCATCGACGGCACGCTCGAGGTCTCATGGGTCCCGAATTCAACAGGCTCTGGCGACGGTGGAGGAGGTTCGCTCCAGGTCGACACGGCGGCCAAGGGCGGCAACGGCACTGACGACAAGCCGCCGGCGTCGGGCCTGGCTAGCGGTAGGCCCGACGAGGGTGACCGCGACGAGGAAGACGAAGACGACAACATGGGCCTGGACAGCGCCAGGGAGGCCCAGTCGCACGCGAACATGGACTACGACGTGGCCGATGAGGAGAACTGGGACGTTGCCTAGGCTGCTTGCGTGTCCGGCTTTACCCAGGAGGACCCCTCAAAAGTACTTGGCGACAAGCACTAAATAATTTCAGAAGGGTGCTTTTTTTTTTCATCGGGAAAAGCTGTGTTAGGGATTCATGAGTACTAATAACCATCCCTACTGCCAAAATCGGTATTTCGGCAAAATAAAGACGGGAGTTGAATAGACGCAGATTGGAATCTGTGCCCAAGTGAGACGCCTCTGATCAGTTAGTTGTGTTCACTGTATTTTATGCGCACCCCGTCGGGATTCAATAATCATGGTGGAGAGGAAAGAACAAAACGCAGAGGCAAAAGCGCCCTGCTGTCCATGTCTTGTATACCTATCTCGTTAAGCCTGTGCAAGTGAAACCCCTAGGCTTACTTCCTTGGAGCTTACTCATGATATGTGCATGCGGTAATTCGAACTCCAAGGTGGAAAGGAAAAAGGAAACTAGGTATCTGCGTCTAGCTATTAACATTTAGCAGCGGGGGTGTTTCTAACCGCACGCTCCCACTAAGGCATCAAAATTCAAAAACCGAAAACTCCCCTTTCGTCCTGTCCCTCCCCCTCTCTCTCACACACACACACACACACACCTCCTTCTCAAGGCTCTGGGACAGGCCGAGCAACGACGCCGCCGCTACCGACGGGGACATCCAGGCTCGGCTTGGCCGAGTGCGAGGGCGACGACGACGCCGACGACGACGACTCGGCGCCGGGGCCGAACACGAGCGTGGCCTCGGTGGGGCCCCCCGACATGGAGCGGCCCCGGCCGGCGGCGGTGGCGAGGACCTCCCTGTTCTTGCGGGCGCGGCGCCTGCGCAGGCCGAGGACGACGCCCCAGGCCGCGACGCCGACGAACGCGGCGGCGCCCAGTGCGGATGCGACGGGGGTGGCCCAGGCGGGGCGCGCGCTACCGCCGCCTCCCTGCTGCTGCGGGCGGGGGCCCTCGGTGGCCGGGTCGTAGACGTACGACTCGCTGGCGGGGCTGGGGGGCGGCTTGGCGTCGCGGGCCCAGGCTGAGGGCTCCGGGCCGAGGACGAAGTCGAGGGTGCCGCCTGAGGCGAAGACGTCGTCCCACGTGAGCCAGGCGCGGTCCCAGTCGTTGCCGTTGACCTTGAGGCTCTGGACGTAGTAGGCGTCCTCGGAGCCGCCGGTGGAGCGGATGCGGAGGGACTTGGAGCCGCCGAGCGAGATGGTCACGTCCTCGAGCCAGGGGGAGCCGATGAGGAAGGTGGTCTGGCCCGTGAGCGGGTAGAGGCCCAGCATGACCCAGAGGATCCACGACTCCATGGCGCCCGCGTCGCTGTTCCCCGGGAGGCCGTTGGGGCGGACGCCGTAGAACTTTTTGCCAATGTGCCGACTCGTGTTGACCGACAGGTCCTGGCGGCCTACAAAGTTGAAGAGAAAAGGCGTCGTGAAGCTCGGCTCGTTGCCCGGGTTGAAGATCATCTTGTCGAACTGCTCGTGGCCGTGCTCGCGCACGTTCGGCTGGAATATCGTCTCGAGCCGCCTCACAAACGTCTCGGGACCGGCTGAGAGCTTGATCAGCTGGTCGATATCGTGGTGTGCGTTCATCGAGTACTCCCAGGGGAGCGCTTGGTAGTAGTGGTCGCCCCAGTAGCACCCGTTGCAGCTCATGGGATCCTGTTCCAGGAAAGCGCCGCCCTCGCCGATCGGCCCAAGGAACCCCACGAAGCCATGCGACTTCATGTTGGTGTTCCAGTGGTTTCTCCACTGCCGCGATCGTCCGAGGTACTTTTCGGCGTCCTTTGTCTTTCCGAGCCCCTTTGCTACTTGGTAGAGCCCAAAGTCGTTTCCGGCACTTTGCAATTTCTCGCGTTAGCTTTCACGTCCTCGAGAGTTGAAAAATGGGTGCGGTAAAACGCGAGACTCACTACTCAACCGCCCTCGTCACGGAGCGGGCGTACTTGGTGGTGACGTAGCCGTGCTTGAGCCAGTCGGGCAGCGCGCCGCGCCCCTCCTTGGTCGATGAAGACTTGTCCCTGGGGTCGTCGTTGTTCGGCGGCTGCACCTCGGCGTTCTTGACCATGGCCGCGTAGCCGTCGTCCCAATTGATGCGGCCGCGGACGCCCTTGATGAAGGCGTCGGCGAAGACCGTGTCCGAGTTGCTGCCGCCCTGGACGGCGCCGTTGAAGAAGGAGGACCGCGCGTCGGACACGTAGCCGTCGTGGCGCCAGGTGTCAATCATGGACCGGATCCAGTCCTCGTACATGGACGGCTGGAACACGTGGAACAGCGCCGTGGTGCACCGGAACAGGTCCCAGAGCGTGAAGACGTCGTCGTAGTAAGGCTCAAGCGAGTCCCACTTGGGGTTCTCGCCCGTCTTGTTGGTGGGCATCAGGTGCATAAAGTACATCGAGGTGTAGAGCCGCCGGAGGTTGTCCTCGTTCTTGTCGTTCGCCGTCACCTTGGAGAGCACCTGCGAGTTCCAGACGTCGCGAGTCTTGTCCCTCAGCTCCAACAGGCGCGTGCCGGCAGGCACCTGGTCCTGTAGGTTTCGACAGGCCTTATCCTCGGAAATGAAGGAAACGCCGACGCGTGAGCTCACGGCTGCCGCGTCAAAGGTGAAGACGGCGCCCAGGCGGTTGGTCGCGTGTTCCACCTTGGAGGCATCCGAGTACCGGGACAGGGTTTCCCCCGCCGCCGAGTCGCCGAGGAAGGTTTTGAAGGTGGCAGACTCGTTGAAGACTCCGCAAAAGTAGACGGTCCACTTGGGAGACCGGTTCCAGCCGTTGTCGTACGAGCCCTGTCCGCGGTACCTAGTCTGGCCCGAGCCGTCCTTGTCGACCTCGATCTTGCCTCCCAGGTAGTGCTGGCCCAGCCCCATGCCGCGGAAGGATGGGAGGACGTGGGAGACGTCGACGATGACGTTTCGCGGCTTCGGGTCAGATGGGAACGTGTACTGATACATTCCCGCGCGGCTTGAAGCGGCGAGCTCGACCGTCACGCCCGTCTTCAGCTTGGACCTGTAATATCCGACCTCGGTGACGTCCGCAGTCTCCCGACCCGTTTTATGGTTGCCCAGCGGATTCTCTACCTTGCCCGGCACCGGCATCTGGGCCACCACGCCGTACTTTGGGGCTCCGCCAGTACCACTCAGGTGAAGCATGCTGAAGCCTAGGAAATCGCCGTTGGGCTGGTACCCCGAATAGCTGTCGCCGCCGGTAAACAGGTCTGGGCCCAGCTTGACCATGCCGAAGGGCTCGCTCACGCCGGGGAAGGTGTTGCCTCCGCCCGCAGAGCCGGTGTCGGTAAAGACATATTTTGTGAGATCGGCCGCGTTGGCCAGGCCGCCCAACAACAAAAGGGCGTGTAGGAAAGGCATCGCCTAGTCTCTAATCTGTGAAGGAGAGAGCCAGAGGAAGCTGAATGAAGTCGAGCGAGAGAGTGTAAAATAGGTCCAGCTTAGGCACCCCGGCCTGTCATGAGTCTCGAAAAGAAAGAGATGGCATGTATGATACAACCGTTATGTGCCGAGAAAATAGGCAACAACCGTGGAGAGACTCCCCGAGAGCCAAGGTGAGTTCTCACCAGCCAAGGACAAGAGGGAATGGAGGGTCGAGTCAAAGGGAGACGTGCGTCAGCCCAAGAGCGCGCAGACGGCACTAAAGTCCCGAGACATGGAGATGGATTCGCTTGGCTGCTGCTAGCCTCGTTGGCAGCGGGGCGGGAGGGAAGCAAGAGCAAGCGAGAGCGGGAGATGATGTATACAAGAAGGAATGTTTGCAAAGACACAAGAGAAAAGGCACCACGTGTGCGAGCGGGAGGATGCCATCAAGCCATGGCATTTTCTCGGCCACGAGCTGAAAAGGGCGGAGCAGTCGCGGCACCGTCAAAACGGTGGACCAGACTCCTGGGGTCCACATGAAGACGGGCAGGCAGGGCGGCGGGCTAGGCCGCCGCCCCAGGGTCCAAGACAGCGCGAAGAAGAAAGGGAATGGAACGGCAGCGGAGATGTGGTAGGGGTGGGGGGCGGGCGCGTGGCTGATGGACGGGCCAGGGGTTGAGGTCAAAAGCCAGCGGCCCAGGTTCCACGCGCAGTTAGCGTAGGAACAAAAAAAGCCGATCAGGGACCAGGCTGGACTGCATCCCCGTGGCGTGCAGGTCACTTACCCGCTAAGGCGTCGACTTAGCGACTGGAAGGTTTGGTGGTAGCCGAAACGGAACGAACGGCATGCAGCCAACTGACACAAGAGTCTGGAGACAGGCACAAGAAAGGACAAAGACAGCACCCCACTGTCCATTCCATTCCATGTCCACCTGTCAGTTTTGGCATCACTGTTGACGACTGCCAGGGATGCTCACTCGTTGCGCCCCAGCTGAGACCTGTACTTGTGTGTGTTCAGCTGACGACGCCTCCCTTGGCTGCAAGTACCACATGAGTGAGATTGATGGGAAAAGAGAGTTGGTGTGGTGGCACGGCATCACAGGGCCACAGGGGGGCTTTGCCATTCCTAGCCGTTTTCGCGCATCTTGGGAGATCTTGAAAGTCAGCCCCAAGCATTCGCCAAGCCCCAGGCTGTGGACGCGAATGGGCGGCTCTGTGCAGGGGGCTCCAGCGGGCCAAGCAGAGACCCAAGCACCAAGAGCAAGAGGATGATGGCAAACAAGGAATTGCGGGCTCTTGGGCGACCGCTGATCTGGAGAAGAGACGTCATCAGGTGTTGGTAACCGCTCTTGGGGTCAGTCCAAGACAGCAGGTTGCGGGTAGGACGGCAGAGCCTGCCGTCGTCAGCGCTTGGGAGCGAGAGAAATCAAATCTTTTTTTTTCTGTAGCTCCCCGCTCGGCCACCCCGACCCGCCGTCGGCTGGTGCGGTGGCCGTTGCCCGCCCGCCAGTGGAAAACGGTCCGTCAACAATTTCATAGCCCAGCGCCCGCAGCCACAAAAACGGCAGGCGTCTGGCGCCTAACAGCTCGAACAAACAGTTTCGGCGAGGGCTGAGCGCGCAGGCCAGGGGAGACAAACGCGCCCCCAGGTCTGGACCGGCCCATTGGATTTGCCCGCATCCCCCTGCAGATTGACGGCACAGTCGCATGGACGGACAAATGGGTTTCTCACAACCTCTGTCTTTGCAGAGCCATGCGTTGTTTCCCCTCTTTTTTTTTTGACGCCATACGCCATACGGCAGTCAATTCAGTCCGGCCGCGCCAAAGTGCCGTCTTGGGCCGTCGCTCTCCTCACCCGTGGGACACGCGGCTCATGCTACCAATGTGTTTGCTCTGTTCTTCTCTGTTTTTCTCCCCTCTGCTTCCAAATCAAGCCACCCGGCCCTGGATTGAAAGGCCCGTGGATGCGGTTTTGAATGGCAAATGGAACGTGCGCCGAGACGCTCGAGAAGTCGATGAGAGCGGCAGGAGCCTGTCAGCTCCGGATCCTGTGCCTGGAGAGCCCTTGTCTCCTTTGTGGATTGGGTGGGTGGATGCCCACATCGTATCCCCCCTCCCGCTAGACTGCGATGGATGCATCGAGACCCTTTCACGAGATGCAGGAGCTCCCAGAGCCAACAAACGCACATCAGTGGACTGTGTGACTGTCTGGCGAGTGGGCACTCTGTTCGACTGGTTCACAAGTCTCCCGAATATCTGCCTAGTACTTACCTAGGTAGTACCTAGGTATCGGTATCTCCTAACTACCTCCCAAGATCTGGATCTGGATCTGGATCCAGAGGATGATTCATCCCCCATCTGTCCGTCTCAGCCCCCGTTTCATGAACCAATCAGTTCTTCTGTTGCCGTATGAAATTCTCTCAACACCCATGTTTTGATACCTTTTGGCAGCCTCCCTGCCATTTATCTTCTGCTTTCTCTGTCACAGCCCCTTCAGGTCACTGTCTCGACCGGGCTTGATAACTGCCAGCAGGCACCTCCAGTCAAACCCATCAGATGATACCCTACATGGTCAAGGCGCAATGATCAGGTACCACCGCGTTGTACCCCTATACTGCGTCTATGATCGATATAAAGCTTGCTGTTCCTTCATACGCAGATTATTTCATGACGAGGGTTTCTGGGAGCAGCTAGCTACCTAGAGATGTCTCCCCAGAGCGATATGTTAGAGCCGAAGCTCCTTTATGTATATTGCCTGCCTGCCCACCGAGCATATCCGCTGCACTCGCTCCAATGTTTCCTGTTCGCATTCCATCTATAGGCGGGCCTCCCAGGCTGGAACCGATCTGTGGCCCCAATGCACAGCTCCCACAGACGTCGTGGAAAGTGCATAAGATAAAGCAACAAACAAAAACGAAGTGAGAGAAAAAAAACGCAAAAAAGGACATCCGCGTCGTGGAGCCGCAGACTTTTGACCATCTGCCAGCGGTCCTATATCCACACAATGCCCAAGTCGATGGGCACTACAAACACCGCCGCATCGCCGTGAGAGACCCAGTATAAAAAAACAAGCACCGCGTCAGTCGGTATGATTTGTCTTTTCCCATATCCGAGTGTGTAGTTGTTAGCCACCTTCCGCTCCTCTGGAGGCAGGCTGTTCTGGGCCCCTCGTCCTCACCCCAACATCCCGAGCGAGATAGCCGAGCCGTCTGTTGCTGGTTGTCGACAAGGGTTGTCAGGCCAGGGAGCGCTTTCCCTTCCACCGGCATGCTTTGTTTGCAGACCGCATATGTGGCTATCTTATTCCGGCAACTAGAATTCTAGCCCGGTGTCGGCTTGGAGTACCCGGATAATCACAGTCGTGTCGGCATCACTTTTAGGCAAGGTAGCCCAGCTCGTCATCCTCGAGGCGCTCCAGATATTCCTTGTCGAGGAGAATCTCGATGCATTTCTTGATGGCCGGGATCTGAGGCACGAACCTGCCCTTGATCTGTGCGATGGTCTCGCTGACGAGCTGATTGTGCTTCATCCGCTTCCTCGCCTTCATGATCCGGACAATTGCCGACTGCAAGGGTGTTCAGAGTCAGCATCTTCAATCACGCCATCCAAAGATACTATCCACCTGCGGCTTACCTGGAGAACAAGCTTCCGGTCCTCTTCAATGTGCTTGTTAGTATCCAGCTCCTCCTGCTTCTGCTCAGTCTTCATGCCGACGTTGAGGTTGATACGGATCTTCTTGCTCTTGAAGTCGTAGTTGAGCCTGTAGGTCGTGCCTGGGCCGGGTTTCTCGTTGTCGGCGAGCAGAACTTTGGCCTTGACGAGCACGCCGATGGACGGGTCCATGGCCTCGCTGTTGAGGTTCGTCGCTGACGCGATCTCATCATACGTGTGCGTGTCCTCCTCGTTGAACATGAGTAGGATAGCCATCTGGTACATTGAGACCTGGAAAGTGTATGGCGTCTTGCTGCTCTTGCAGTAGCCAGCCTTGAGCTCGCCCTTGCAGAGCTGCCACAGCCAAGTAAGCTTCCTGCCCTCGTGCTTGTTCTTGTAAAAGCGCGTGAAGCGGTCGCAGTCTTGGTGGATTACGGCCGGCGGGTTGAAGCTCGTGTTTGGCGGTTGCAGTGGCCAGAAGCCCGTGCCCAGAATGGCGTACTGGGAGTCTAGAAGCTTCAGCTCCGACTTTTGTGCGTGATCCCGGAATCCGTGGTTGAGATCCTTGGACGTCTGCATGTCCTGGAACATGCGCTGCAGCTTGTTGGTGTACTCGAAGCCGCACGCCTCCTTGAGCTTGCTGATCATGCTCGTTTCCGCATCGTCCGACGACGAGTTGCTATGAACAAGACGCCGCGCCAACATGCGCGAGTAGAATTTCTGGAACACGTCCTTGTCCTCGATGTACTTGAACACCGTCATGATCTGCGTGAGCGTCGCCTCCAGCTCCGCTTCCTCGACAGCACTGCCGCTCTTGCGGAGGAGCACATCCGTGTACTTGGCCAGGAGCTCGGGCGACTTGTTAGATCCGGACTTGCAGACATCGTTGCGGTTGACAAACTCTCGGCAGGCGTTGTCCAGCGATCGTGTGAATTCCGGCTCGTCGTTGAACGCTCGCTTAACGAGGCCTTGGTACTGTGTGTGCACCTCCAGCAGGGCGTCGACGTAAACCTTTGGCTCAAGCTTCTCCGCGTCCGACGACACCTTGGCCACGGCCGCAAGCCCGGCTTTCCTAACGTGTGCTTCAAACTTGGCCCGAAGAGGGTCAAGACCGTCCGAGATGCGGGCGAGGAGGTTATACATCCGCGCCATGTCATCCTCGCGGTCGTTGTCCAGCAGGACCTGGAACTCGTCCCTCAAGATGCCCGAATGATCGGCAATCAGGGCCTGGTTGCAGCACCTCTTCAGCGCCACGGCAATGTCAGGGTGCAGGTACATGCGAACTCGCTCCTCCTCCTCCTCCAGCCGCATCTCCGCCTTCTTCATGTACTCGACCACACTATTCTCGGCCACAAAGGCGCGGCTCTCGTTGCGGTAGTAGGATTCGGTCGCGGCGATGAAGGGCTTCTCGAAGTGGAATCGGTAGCAGTCGAGTGTCGTCTTGGACGCGTCGTTCTCATCCAATCCCAGAGACACCATGGAGTCGAGGATTTGCTTGATCTGCCCGTATTCGATCGTCTCGCCGTTACGCTGCTTCTCGACCAGATTCAGGACGGCCTCCATGACCTTGCCGTGCACTTTCTCGAACAGGACATTCTTCCATTGGACCAGGTGGAGGGTGTAGACATCGAAAATGTGCTTCTTGCCCTCATCGATCTCGCGCTTAACCCAGTGTCGGTTCAGGTACCGAAAGAGATGATGAACGTATTTGGCGGCGGTTGTGTATCGATCCCACTCTCTGATGTAGAAGCTGAGGAGGGCCTCGCCCGTGTGTGCCTTGGACTTTTCCAGCAGGTCCTCCAGGTGCAACGTCAGATACCCGATCAGCTTCTTGTAGAGGTCCTCGCCGAGAAGGTGAGCTATGGCAGAGTCAGCGGTGCTATTCTCCAGGTCCATGTCATGAAACCAGGTGCGAGAGGTTCGAGAGGTTCGAGTGGAGAAGAAACAGACCTCCTCTGTGAGCTCCAGCGGGTTGCGCTTGTTGGGGGAAGCCCACGACCTTTTGTGAAGTACAGAAATTGTGCACGGCACTAGAGAATTGTTAGCGAGGGACCATAGCGACGATGCGATAGGTTGCACAGGAAACTTACGTGTATATACCCATGTACTGGAAGCAGGGGCAGAATATATCAGCAAGAGTCGTCCTCCTCCATGCAGCGGATGGGCAGCCTCGCCCCTCGATTTTCCACTCACCGTTTCCATGGTCATGCCATCCTGCAGGTTGTTCATGATCCGTTTTATGCCATTCTGCAAGTAGTTCCAGCTGAAGTAGGCGCATCGCGTTAATTATGGGCCATTCCCGCGCTATGGTGCAGCCGCGGCCCGCGCGAGCACAGCGAGAGCGTCGGTGGGCCGGTAGGCATGGGGTGCCTGTCAGGCAGGGTTGGTGTGGTGGCATCTTACGTGACGTCGATATCTTCACTCTTGGTCCCAGACGGAATGGAGAGCCCCCTCCCCGTAATCGGGGGAGCCATATCTGCCGGTGTTGGGCACCGGTATGGTGGCCTCTGAGATGGGCTGCTGGTTGGGGGCGGCGGCCGCGTTCTGAATCAGAGCACACGATCGGGCCTGCACCGAGGGAGGCCCGCGGGCGAGGCGCCGGGAGGGCGGCTTGGGCGGCAGGGAGATGGCGCGGGATGAATTAAGATATGACCGCTGCCAAGGGCCGAGGTGGGTGAGGGCGAACTGGGGATCGAGACGGGGCGCGGAAACGCAGCAGCGGTATGTTCGTGAAAGGCGGCTCTCGGGCCCTTGTCGCGATATGCGGGCAACCTGACGAAGGAGGGGCGGCGGGTGGTTGGGAATGGAGGAAAGTATGCTCGGTCGGCGAAAGGGGCGGGAGAAGGCGGATATTTGGGCACCTGGAGGACTTCCCGAGACAGAAATCACAGATGACGGGTGAGGCTGCGACGGGATTCCAGCACAATATCGCGACGTTAGGCCAGGCAATCGAAGCTGATCATTAGGCTGCCAACGTGGAGGCACCGAAATTGGTCAGCCCGCCCGCGCCTAACCCATCAGTCAAACAGCCCAGCCCGTGGTCTGTGCCCGCGCTGCCTGGCTACCCCAGCACGCCCAGCCAACGCGCCGCAACTCCACAGCAGCCAATGGGATCAGAGCTGCGTGATGGGGCCGGGATGGGGCAGAGCCTCGCCTCCCGTCCCCTCTGACCCCTCGCCGGCTGCAAACAGCGTGCCACCACCTGAACTCCGATTGACGACGCTATTTGACCTCAGCCGCCAACCATTGGCATTTTATCCAACACCCAGTGAGAGCTCGACCGGAGCGCTCCCCTCGGACAAAATGTAGTTATCAAAGCGACCTGGAGGAGTGTATTGTGTCAACAGGTGCCTACTAGCCGGTCAGGATTGCATAGTGGATCCGGACACTGCATGCTCACCTAGCAGTCACGGCAGTCAACTGCCAGCCACCGCAACCTCACAACCTTGCCTGGCGACGCCACAGGGATACCCACACCCGGCCTCATGGCATAAGCCGCACTCCCGGTGTGGACTAGGTGGCTACCTAGGTCTGGGTTCCTAACGGCCAGTGAGTGCCTTTAAAAAAAGTCCAAATATAGGCACTTGAGGCTATAATGTACTTTGTGGGGAGCCTTTGGAAATTAGTGGTGTGTTATCCCGCGAGGCTCGATCGTGCCCCTGAAACATGATTCCTCATTGTGTGTTTTTTGTAGCCTCCTGTGTCCTTTCTTCCCAATATATCCTCATTGAATAACATGTTTGCCCATCCCCACCCTCTACTACGTTGGAACTACCTAGATCTCATAAAGGAATCGGTCTGGAACTAAAGCGGCTATATGTTCCAGGGGCGGGTCCTCTCGCGGTGCTGCCTTGTCCTCGTCGCGGGCCAGGTCTACTTCCAATGCCGCATTGATGCCGTGCCGCAGGACGTATTCGACAACGACGGCGACACCAATATGTGGTCGCTCGGTTGGGCTAACTCGCCGCTCTAGACGCTGAACAAGCCCCAGCGCAAGGCTTCCTGGCTTTACATGAAGTGCTCCGGCCTCTACACGGGCCAGCGGCTAGCCAAACCCCGGCATAGGAGCTATCATGGCCACCGTACCGGGTACGCTTACGGGCCCAGGTCCAGGTCGAGCTCAAAGGCCTGCCTCAGCGGCGCGGACATCAACCGCAGTGTGGATCACACTGGCGGCCAGGGAGAAACGCCCCTTCACAACGCCGTGTATTCCGGGGGAGTCGGGATTTAGATCGTCAAGATTCTTCTCGGCAGGGCACCAGGACAGATATCTGGACTAGGGCGGCCGCTCCATCGTCTCCTTGGGCCCAGTTCGACACCCTCGAGATGCCCTATCCTAAATTATTCAACAACGTCGACTTCAGGGGCAAAAGATAATAGCAAGGATACCCACTCCGCCGCCCGTCGCTCCTCCACTAACCGAAGGCGGTTACGGATCGCAACCTTCCACTCATTTGCCACCTTGTACACAAAAGCAAGCCTAGAAAAGAGAAGGCCGCAGGAAGCTACGATGATCACGACACTTATCCAAAGCGCCCCGCCCATCGGCCCCCGGTCCCTGGCACCGTCTTCGACCGCGACGGTGATCTGTAGTCCGCTCAGAACCACCGACACGCACGACCGCGAGCACGAACAAGATCGGGCCGTGAAAGCGCGCGAAATATGTCCCGTATTGGTATTTGACCCTTTGGAAGTGCAATTTGCCGAGAAATGGGGCGTAGAAGTTGAGACGCGTGAGGCAGATTTCGCCATAGGCATACCGCGGGGACACGTCCCGATCTGGGATGTTGGCCAGGCCGGGGGTGAAGTTGCAAAATTGCTCCCAGGTGATGCCAGGCGGGAAGGGTTGCAGGCTGAGGTCTTGAGCAATGCGCAAGTCCGACTCATATTTCATCAGCTGCCGGTGGAGCAGCGATATGTTGCCGCTGTCCTGCTTCGACATCCACCAGAGTCTGCCGGCGATCTTGCCCAAATCGTTTGAGCAGAACTCTTTGGCCAGAAAATCCCATAACGCGCTTTGATCCCCGAGACGGAGGCGGGTGTGTCCTAGCAAATACCGTATCTGTTAGTTTGGCCCCTGCGTCAGCTAATGTGCCAACTCGAAGGGAGGCATCGGGTCCATCGTTGGAGATATTGTTGGGGCCGTCGTTAGCAAAGATGAGGAGCGAAACTAGACATGCCCTTGTTTGGTGGCAAGGCTGGGATTAGGCAGAGGTATAATTCATATCACATGGCCAGCTGCAGCTACCCATCACGAGAACGAGGCTGAACAAGCTGAACAACCTATGTTTTGCGCTTTGCGATCACTAGAGCCTCGTTAGGAGGGGACACGTTTTGCTCCCCGCATCACCATGTTGTCCAGTATCTGGATCAAGACGGTCGTACCGGCGGAGCTGTTCATAGCAGTCTTTCTGACAGCCATCACCCTCCTGGTGACGGCAATCCTTGTCGGCCGACACTCCAGGCAGCCTACGGGGGCGCCGGAGGCCGAGTGGTCAACGTCTCGCGGCGTTGACCAAGCCGCCACCACTACGGCCGCAAAGCCAAAAAGACTGACATTCCGCGTCAAGGACTTCCCAATAGACCATAGCACCGATGAGTTGGTCTTTGCCTTGAGGTCTATCGCTGAGCAAGATCTAGCCTTGCACGGAGCCGCCGCAACCATGACCTGTCGCTCTTTAGCACCACAGAACAACTAGTTCGGCTGCGCTACCGTCTCGATCACTATATCGCTCTCTGGAGATGACCTGTGTGGCCGGATGCACAAAGCTGGGAAGGGCCAGCCATACACATATACCTACAATTGCAAATTCTACGGAATCACGCCTCTGTACGAGAGTAAGAGCGGCGCCGATGTTGAGTAAGTGCCAGGGGCTTCTTCCGCTCGTTGCCCTTTGCTCTCACTGACTCCAGCACTTTGCGGTATCATCGCAGTACACGGTCTCGGAAGCCATGCGCTTGGTTCCTGGAAATCCCCGGACAGCGGCGACGTCTGGCTACGCGACTTCCTTCCCAAAGACGTGCCTAACATCCGAGTGCTTCTCTACAGCCACGACACCATACTGGCCAACATCTGGTCGAAGCAGTCCATCGAGGATTTGGGTGCCACCTTCTTAGAACAAATTGTTGCCTTTCGGGCGAAAGATGGGGTACGTGATTTCCAATTATGCGATATCTGGCTTGGACTAGCCTTTATAGACCTTTCGCCGTCCGATTATCTTTATCGGCCATAACCTCGGCGGCCTGCTGATCAAAGAGGTGAGATCCCGCCTCGTCCACAGCAAAACGGGCAGTTAGCTGACTGCCATAGGCGCTTGTCCGTGCTTGTAACCAAAGTAGTAGCGGCGCGTATATTAAAAGCCTGTTTCGGACTCCTACTCTTCGGCGTGCCAAACCACGGCCTACAAAACGACCAGTTGACGACCCTTGTCAAGGCCAACCGAACGAATCCTTGATCCACGGCCTGCTCGTTGACAAGGACACTGAACCATCAACCTTCCTGAAGAGACTTGCTGACCAATTTTCTACCTGCTGCAAAGGTCAATATCGAGTTGCTACCCTCTTCGAGCACGTACTCACCCCAACTCTACAGGCGAGAGCACAGTCGGAGATACGAGAGCTGTCACTGATTCTTATCCCGTAGATGGAGAACGGGACATTGCAAAAATCGGGCACCCTACTTTGCTGGTCACAATGGAGTCTGCCACCAGTACAGGCTTGGTCGCTGCGGCCGACGAAGACAAAATCCCCCTCACCTCAACAGGGACCATTCAGCGCTCGTCAAGTACAAATCCAGGGACGATGGTGAATACCCTATCGTGGGAGCACGAATCAGAGACTTCGTCGATGAGGCCAAACTGAAAGTAGCCAGACAAGCTTTTTTTATGATGGACAGGTTCGTATGAGCTCAGTACATCTCGCCGGGTTTCCAAAGCGGCCAGACCTAGAGCATGGTCCAAAGATTTCGTGAGAACTCAAGTCTGGCGAGAGAAGTCAATCTGATCTGATTTGTCAACCTTGTGGGATGGGATATCTATCACGGTAAACCTCCAAAATTTACCCCTAAAAAAGCAGGCGGCTCTGCTTTTCCTCGTCTTCTTCTATTTTGTTACATGAAATTGACGAGTAAGCAATGTGGCGTTGCAAAAGTGCTCATTTACCTCGCATTTCCACCGACCTACCCAAGAACGCTATTACTACCACGGCCTCCAACTCATCCCGGTCTTTTGATGTGCTCTTTGAGAGAGTAGTTCAGAAGCTGTCGTCCAAGATATTCTGGTTCATCTTGACCATGGTAGGGCTATATTCCGATGATTCGTCTGGGCCGGCGCCTGCAGTCAAGAGTATGTCCTCTACGATGCGTTTGCTAGCTTCTCGGGCTGTCACCACCACACAAAGATGCCGGGTCAGCACGGAAGCGGTCTCGGGTGGTTATGGTCATCCCCAGTAGGCATGATAGTCATGAAAAGAACTAAATAGCCACATACCTGGCGTCTGTAACAGCCTTGATGCCGGCATCGCAAACTGTATGGTCTTGGGCGGGCTCATGCCCGCGTACACGTCCTCGTCGCTGTCGCTGTCCCAGGTTATCTCGTCCGCCTTGTCGTCTCTCGCCCCCGACTGCTCCCCAAACACATCCCTAGTCTTGCGGCCCGTGGCTGGGGTCTGGACGCTGACGCCGGGGGTCCTCGGCCCGGCGTTGCGCGCCTGCGCCTGGCCGCCGCGGTACGCGGCCCGGACGGGCGACATGAAGGCGGCGCTGCGCAGCGTCGGCGGCGCCATCTCCGGGCTCGACATGGGGCTGTCCTCCCACGGCTTCCGTTGTTTGCCCTTGTCCGCCGGCCCGTCATCCTTCTCCTTCTCCGTGACCTTCCAGCGCGCCGGCGACGTGCCGCGGGCTGCGGGCCGGTGCGGCGTCGCCTGGAGGCGGTAGTTCTTGTCGAGCACGCGGTGGAGGAGGCGGTCCGCGTTCGGCGGGTGGGCCGGGGACTCGCCCGCTCTGCCGGCGGCCCCAGGCACGGTCGCCAGCCCCCCCTCCAGGGACGCGTGGGGTGTCATCGACATGTCGGGCAGGCGTGCCGTCTTCTGACGAAAGAGGAGCTCCGACTCGGACTCCTCAAATGCCGACGACTCCTCGTCCTCGTAGCCGCCGCCGGTGTCGGGGTGGTGCGGGTCCGCCTCGCGCATCATCTCCCGCTTCAGAGCCTCGTAGGGCGAGTGGAGCCTGGCGAACTGAGGCCGGGCGGGCGTCGACACCTGCCCGATGGTTTTGGTCCGGGGCGGACGCGGGGTGCTGCCCGAGACGTCGCCATCGCCGTCGTCCGTGAGCAGCGACGTGTCGTCCTCCTGCCGCCCGAGCGCGGACTCCCGGCCAGAGCTGCGCGGCCTCGGGGTAGCATCAGCATCGGTGGCGGTGACAACGGTGTCATCGTCCACTGTTGTCCCCTCGGCGGCCGACGGATCGTCGTCGTTGGCTAGCTCCTCGTAGCCTGAAAGAGAGACATTGGCGGATGCCTCAAAGAATTGCTTCCAGAACTGGGGAGGGTATTAGTTCTAGCTCGCACACAAACGAGCACAAGGCCATCATCCTACCTTAGATGCTTCCCACACGGCCTTGGAATGTTCACCGTACTGCTCCACGAGAGGCAGAATGCTAGTGGTGATGATTCTATGGGCCTTGCTAAAGTTGCTATCGATTTCTACGGCATCACCGGTGTCAATATTGTGTGTTTCGGCCGTGCAGGTGGCCAAGCCGAGGCGGGAAAAAGGCACCCCAAACCTTGCAGTGTCAGAGTGATAGACTGCTCAAGCTTCTCCAGCTCTTCAGTGAGCGACAGATTTCTCTGCGCGGGCGGCATCGGCCGAGACATTGTGAGTGGCTTTTCACTCTGAGCTAGAGTGAAATTTTATTCAGTGTCTGGGCTGTCCGTTGCTTGACGCGTCCGGAAACTCGGCGCAGACGCGATGAGGGGTAGGTAATGAATATGGCCTACGACAGCGGCGAGCTCTGTTGGCGGCTGAGATGGTGCTCGATTTACAGATGTGGGGGAGTCTCGACCTCCTGTGGGGCTTATGTGGTCATCTCCAACAAAGCTGGAATGTGTGCTCCCCTTTCGGCGGGAACGCTCTTGGGTATCCCGGCCTTCCCATAACCCGACATATGTACCGTGCAAACTCTGCCTGGTTCTATTTATATCAGTCAAAGAGGTATGTTTATTCCCCTCTCAGTGCTCACTAAGGTCAGGTCTACCCGGCGATCGAAAGTGTGTTGGGCAAGCCACCTCGAGACTGACGGAAATCCAGGCCACCTCCCTGATTACTTTCTACAGGGCAGTACACTACTTTGTTGAACCCCCAGCATAACTCCGCCAGGCAATTCAGAACAGTCGGGCCAGCCTGGATTGCGTTTTGCACAACGTTCCCGACGCCCAAGAGATGCCACTCCCTCAGCGAGCCCCAGATAATGTGACTGGAAGACAATGCGCAGAAGGCAGAATGCGCTGCTCTCCCAGAGAACCCCGTCTTCAACCACCTCTTCCACGCCTCCCCCGTCGGCCCCTCCCACGACCGCCCCTGCCCCTGCCCCTGCCTCCCCCACGCGTGGATTTGACGACGGGGGGAGCCTCCTGCTCCTCTCCGCTGCCGGACCCAGACCCGGTCCCCGACCTGTCTCCCTCATCGCTGGAATCGTCCTCCCTAGCCTCGTCGCTCTCACCTTCGTCCTCGCCCTCTTCTTGTCTCTCAGCCTCCTCTTCATCCTCTGTTGTTTCAGCCCTGGCCCTCGTGCTTGACCTCCTCGTCTGCCTCCCGCTGCGTGCCGACTTTGGTGCGGGCGGCGGCGGCGGGGATAATGCGGCGGCTTCCTCTTCGGTATCGTCCACTGTGCTAGAGCGTGCCTTAGACAGACGCTCTCCTCTCTTGCGCTTTCCTGTTACCGTCGTGATGCTCGTCGGCGCAGGAGCTGACGCCTTGGGCGCGGGCGCTGAATCCTCTCCGTCTGGGTCCCACTCGGGTGGTGAAGTCGCGGCCGAGTCCTCGGTAGGATTGACGAGTCGCCTCCGGTTGCGAAGGTTCTCATACTCGTCCCAGGGTAAGCGGAACTCGAGCCAGCGCTTCTCCATACTCTCATCGTCGAGTATGCTGTTTTCCCGGTCGTCAATTACTTCGGTGTTGTAAAACATGCGCAGCTTCTGCCAGATGCCGGGGATGCGCGTGTGCGGAAACACATTGGGGTCAAAGCCGTGGTTGCGGAGGTGTTCTGAGATGGCGATCATGCGGAAGTGCTTGTGGATACCTGCACGCGAGGATGGCGTTGTGCGGGTTAGTTCTACAAGCCATCTATGCGCAAGATAACGACGACAGTGAGGGCGAGGAGCTTGTGGGCGCATGTCCATCTCACCAGCAGGCTTCCATCTTATGACGCCCTTGTATAGGGATGCGACCTGGTCGTCAGTCCAGGGGCTTGTGAGGTCGACGGTAGGATGTTGGCTTGTGGTGGTCGCTGTGGGCGTCGAGGCGGCCTGCGGCGTGTCGACGTCCATAGCATCATCGTCCTGGCCTTGAGCATTGGCAGCCGCGGAGGGCGTCGCCGAGGTCGACTGGATGCTGGCCCTTCCCGCCCTCTTCTTGGGCGGCATGTCGACGGCTGAGGACGCGGGATATCGTATGTGTGTAGCGCCGAATTGCACGCGTTTGTAGCACAACTGGATTCGTAGCAGGTATCCGGATATGGTTGAAATGTTTGCGCGCGCCATGAAGATGTCAATTGGAGAAATTCCCCTTCCAGGATCCACAATGCCATGTGGGAAGGCGGGTCCGTCTGGTGTCGTCAGGGCGTGAAGCTTCTCAGCTTTCGCGCAGCACCCATGAGGATTACGATGCAGGCCCCACCCAAACCGCTGCCGACGCGTCTGGTCCCGGCCCGGCCCAACAAGAAGTGCCAACCCCGAATCATCGGTCCGCAGCAACGGCACCCAGCCCCGGCGCTCTTCAACTGCTCCGGCCAACATGCCGACGGGCTTTCCTTGGCGACAGCCACATACCCAACTTTTCCTTGTCCCCTCTCTGCAATGGCCCATCACGAGCAGCCCGCAGATGTGTTTGCCATTCCAGAATTCTGGAGCGCGCCAAAATGGCTGCAGGCTGACGTTCCTGAGCGGGGCGTGGGTGGCTTTTTTGATATGGACATCGACGCAGACTGTGAGTGGCGTATAGACAGATCTTGTGATGGGAGAGCCATTACTGAAAGTCTCCCGCCCCAGGTCATCGAACCCCAGCTTGTGTTCCCCTCCAGTTAAACGGCATCATCTCGCCCTTCGTCAATGATGATCACGTGGCTCCTCCTTCTGCTCCCGTTTCCCCTGTCTGCGATGTTGATGTCGAGGCGGCCGATAAGCCAGCGCCGGTACCAACACCAGCACATACACTTTCGCCGGCTCCTGGTGACCAAGACCCTTGGCTTTCCATCGATACACCAGTCACCTCCGCCACGCTGAGGACTTGGGAGGAGTTCCTACCAGAGCCTGGTTCTTCGCCCCTGCTGAACGCGAACCCAGCGTTTATCACTGAGGCCGGCCCCGTTGCGTTTGACCGACTGCTAGCGAGCGGTGGTATCCCCTCCCGTATCCGTCCTGGCCAAGACACCATGTACTTGGATCCAGGCCAGTTCATAAACTGCCTCCTGAGCCTGGCGTTTGGCCGGGGCTCCCTTCTATTCTCTTGGGATCCCGCCAAGCGATCCTTTCGCCAGACGACACAGACCGCCCTACTCTCCGGTTACTCTGCCGAGACTCTGCAGGGTATCACGTCCATCTGTATGGACTGCGGGAACAACGCCCGTTTTCTCCGCAGTTTTGTCGAGAAGACATATGCGGCCCACGCTAGCCCTTGCCGCGTAGCACTAGCCACCGCTGTCGACCAGATCATGTGCTCCGTTCAGTCAGGCCTTCTCGCCAAAGGTCAACTAGCCAGGTCTCTGATCCAGCTGCAGGGCCTCGTCCGTCCGTTGCAGTCGACCGTTCTCTACTTTCGAAATCTCGTAGTCACCCTCTCGAGGTCCGCGACAGATGAGGAGCTGTTGTCTCAACTGTTCCACGCGGCACACAGCGCCGAATACGAAAGCGATTTTCTGCGCGCCACCCTGCGTGACGTTCTCAAGACTGTTTCGATGCCCTGGACAGACTTTGTCGAGGAGTGGTTGGGCTTGAGACCCGAGGGTGGGATTCCTATCTCCAAGGACGGCCTTGGAAAGGGGTTCGTCAAGATCGGGAGCCAGCTCTACGGTGACGGCCTCGATTTGGAACAAGAAGAGACCGAATTCTTTCTGGACGAAGAGAAGATGCCATCATTCATCCCCGACGACATTGCTCGCCCGCTCTTCGAAGCCGGGAGGAACCTTCGGTTTATCTGGTCACGTCACCCCGAGCACCCTCTGTCGCGGCCATCAACCATCACAGCAAGTAAGCCGCCGAGACTCGAGTGGCAATTTGAGTGGGATGACATAACCCGCATTGAGCAGCAAGCCCGTGCCTACGAGCAGGCCTTGTTAGAATCCATCCGCAAAGGCGGCCCTAGCAACGCTGAGACCACCGAGTCGAGGAATTTACGGGACGAGACAAAAGCTCCTTGTATCTCAAGCTTCGAATTTAGCTTCTTTGGCAAGGCTGAAGAGCAGATACAGGAAAGAATTCTAGCATCCATCGCCGAGCTGGATAAGCCCATCCTGCAGCAAGCCACTGCCACGGACAACCTCAGCACGGTTTCCCTGGAACGATTACTGGCAGATGGCGAAGCACCGGGCGCTTCGAATTTTCCCGGGCTCACACCTCACTGGTCGCTGCTCCCAGTACTCTCCTTTGGCCCTATCATAACAGCACAGGCCAGGCTCGTGAACAGGGAGTGCATGCGACTTTTGTTTGACGTGCACCGGCTGGCGGAACACCTCAAGATTCAGCTCGAGTTTCAGCTTCTCGGGAATGGGCTGTTTTGTAGTCGGCTCTCGCACGCTCTCTTCGACCCCGACCTGCACACGGCCGAGCGAGAGGCCGGCATGGCTCTAAGCGGCAGCGACATGGGCCTCCGTCTTCTCGGAAGGGAGACGTGGCCCCCGGCGAGCTCCGAGCTTCGCCTGGCGCTCATGGGTGTCCTTACCGAAACCTGGGAGCAGCGCCCAAAGGCAGACCAGGCTGCGCTGCCGAGAGATGGCGACGGCAACGCAGAATCCCTACCAGGAGACCTGAGCTTCGCCATCCGCGAGCTCTCCGCCGAGGAGATGGAGAAATGCATGGACCCCGACTCCCTGGAGGCCCTGGACTTCCTTCGGCTATCCTATAAGCCGCCCGCGCCTCTGGTGCCTGTGATTACGCCCACGATTCTCTCACGGTACGACCGCGTGTTTAGGCACTTCCTCCGAGTTCTCCGCCTGCTTTTCGTCACGGACCAGCTCTTCCGAAGCGCCCCTGCCATCTCCGCCACCCGCAGCGATGGGGCTGTGCAGCAGCGGTTCCGGTTCGAGGCCAGGCACTTCGTGTCTGGTATCGCGGCCTACTTCTTCGGCTCAGGTATTGCGCTGCCGTGGCGCCGCTTCGAAACGTGGCTGAAGGTCGTGCAGGCCGACGTAGGGGCGAACGGTGCCGTGCCCGGGACAGAATCAGCCTCGGGGCCAGCGACCGGCGGGTGGGACGATCACAGCCCGGAGCGGCTGCGGGCACGCCACGACGAGATGCTCGACGAGATCATGCAGGCGCTGCTGCTCCGGAAGCGGCAGGAGCCTGTCCTCCGGCTGCTGGAGGAAATCTTCTCGCTCATCCTGCGTTTCGTCAAGGTGTCGGGGCGCGCTGCTCGGGGTCCCGGAGGCACGCCGGGCTCTGTCGACGTGGGCTCTCTATACAAGGAGTTCCGGAGGAAGGTCGAGGTCTTTATGACGGTGTGCAGGGGTCTGGCGGAGAAGGGCGGCGGTCATGTGAAGGGAGCGACGTTGTCAGCGGCGACCTCAGGTGGTGCACCCCGTGACAACCCCATTGATAGGCTCTTGCTGTCCTTGGACATGTTTGACTTTTATTCCAGGGCTAGATAGTATAGTACAGTGAAGTTACGTTTGTTGCAGCTTCCGTCCAAGCTATATCACAGCTTGGTAGGCTCTTGGGTGATTACGTTTCCTTCCAGTACATTATATCTCTTCTTTAACGATATTGGCTATATGGTATTTCGTGACCACACGTCTGCTTGAATAACACCATTTCCCACATCTTGGAGATCTTATCTCAACCCTGACCGCAAGTTCCTGTCTAATTTCTACTAGTGACGAGTCACTCGGGACTTACTCATCCCACAAGTGTCTTGGATGCTGTACTACGAGAAAACAACTTGTCAATCAATGCAGACCAAAATACGATGGTTGTTTGTAAGACTCGCACAAAAATATTATAAGCGCCCTCACTGCAGGATATCTGACCAAAAGTCACTAGCGCTCCCCGATGAGGCAGTTTCTGCCGGGAAAGACAAGGGCCGGCCTCCTGCGTATCCGGGCAAATCCAAGTCGTATTCCCGGACCAGCGGGCTTAGACCTAGGCCATTTCAAGGACCACGGGCACACATGAGATCGCCCGGCGCCCACTGGGTTATAAAAAGTATAAATGGCGCCTTCTGTGACACTAGCGCCAACCCCCCATCGGCCGGTGGCACAGCAGCAGGGCGAGCCACCCCAGCTAAGCCGAGATGGGCTATCCGAATGTGCGTCTCTCCCCGGGCGGCGGCCTCGATAGGGCAGGTCCGTCGATCGATATATCTGGCTCGCGGGGCTTGGGTTCCAACACATCCCCCCTCCTTTGGGTTTGTATCTCGAGGACGACTGCTTCTTTCTACAGAACCTCCATACCGGGTATAGGATCGTCACCTCCTCAGATACACGTCATGACATTGAGCAGATCGCGGCCGCGCCAATAGAGGAGGATGAGGAGGCCTCGCTGCCCTGTGACTGATACCACACACACTACATAGACGCCGACATCCGCTAGCGGGCGCTGTTGGTTGGCACAGGGCCACCGGTCGGTCCGACAGGCGGAACATGCCGACCTTCAGAATCCGACCATATGACTAAGATGAAGATAAGCAGGCTGAAAAAAAGAGACGCGAGCGGCGAGCGTGCTACCCGGCAGGGAGCTCGGCAACAGAGCGAAGTGCAGGACGGCCGGAGGTGATGTTCCGCAAGCAATGAGGCGAGCGCTAGTGACATTGCCTTTCGTCCATGTTTCTCTCTTTTGTTCTTTGTCACTCTGCCGATCTCCAAAGGCCATCACATAATCGCGAATACGAGAAAAAAAAAATCAACCAAACGTCAGAGCACGTCTAGACCACAATACGAATGCCCCCAACGGGCCACGGGGTGCTGTTGCATAGCCAGAGATCGCGTCTAGACCTCCTCAATGGGTGCAGCATGGGCCTCTACGCACCGTGCACAGCAAGAGAAGGGCCGTTTTAGCCATGCTATTGGCGCCAAAATACCAGACAGCACACCTTAGCATCTACCTATCGATCTACCTACCGTAGCTTCGGGGGTGGCTTGAAGCGACGGCCCTTGTGGCTCGGCCGAGCGGTCCCCCTGAAACCCGCTGAATTTGTTACGCCATACGGGGTCCGCGGTACGGGGTGGCCGAGATGCTATTTGACTGCGCGACTGTGTGAGATGAGATGGATGGCCAGGGGGGAAGCATTGTTCACGTTCCAAGTTTCGTGGTAGCTTTCCCGGGAACCCTCACTTGGCCCCGGCGCGTCTTTATTATCCACAAGGCTGGGCGGGAGATGGTTGGAGGTACCGGGGAGGAGGGAGGTCGGGGAAGAAAAATCAACGGAGACAACCACCACAGGGAAAAAGCACATACAGCAAAAAGCAAAAAAAAAGGAATACAAAGCAAAAGGAAACCGGTAAGCAAGCAGGAGAGAGGGTCGGAAGATGGCAGTCTGCAAACACCGCAGGTTCGCATCACAACTCCACCCTCGACTGCCGGCTCAGATCCCAAACAGGCGGCCAAGCACTGAGATGGTGATACGTAGGCCCTACACACACACACACACACACGGGGAAACTGCCTGTCTGGCTCACTCGAGACGGTCAGCCTCTCTGCCGGCTCGCCGAGACGAGGGCCGCCTCTTTGCTGTCGGCCCTATCCTCTCCTTGCCTGCCCGTCCACTTGTCTGCCTGTTTCCCACCCTCGCCCTTGCCGATACCGATATGGAGGAGCATGGGGTAGGGCAGGCAGGGAGGCAGGGAGGCAAGGGGCAGGGCGGACAGGGAGGCTGGCAGGCAACAGAAAGCACGGGAAGAAAAAAAAAAAAGACGCGAGCCGACCGAGACGACGGATGGGGCACCAAACAAACGCACCCACCTCATGGTTCCACAAGGAAGGGACCCTCTCTCACAACAGGCAGCACGGATAGATCGCCGGGGAATGGGACGGGGGGCCAAAAAAAAAAATGGCAACACGGGGGACAGAGAGAATCGCACTTCGTAGACCGAGCAAAGGAAGGTAAGGGGAAAGAGGAGGCGACCACACCTCCCTCCTCCCCAAGCATTGCGTCGGCGAGTTACATAGCGTCGCACCAGTGCATCCCCAACGCGGACAATATTCCCGGGTCACCGTAAGGGGAAGGTAGAAGCTGAAGGGAAAGCCTATGCGAGCACGATGGTGGCCAAGGATATCTTTTTGCTCTTTTGCCCGTCCGTATTTTCCCGCAGCACGCACAACGCGTGTCGTATCGGTCCATCGCGAAATTCGTTATTGAATCATTATTTCCCTTCTTGCTACCTTGGGGGTTTTTTTTTTCCACGTCACGAGGGCACAAGGTTGGTCGAGGCCCCCAACGCCAAGGAGAACAATGGCAATGACAGGCCGTCCCTCTTTCCCTCTCTTCAGCCAGCCAGCCAGCCAGCCAGGTTACACCAGCGAGGATGGCTGGGGATGATACCTGTGCCGACAAATCCGCTGACGGACCAGGGGTTTCCACAAGGAATTGACAGAGACGGAGAAAAGAAAGAGATCCGGGACAGTTGCCTGCCGGGAGAAAAGAGGTTCACACCCCCTCCTCCCCAGGAACGGTGTATCACGGCTACGCCGGGGGAGGACCACGGACGGCCACGATGGACCCTGCTGTTGCCATTAACGATGCGAGAGGACCCTCTCCGCCGCCACGGTCTGCGTCTTTGGTGAGATGTTGCACCTGGGTTACGCCAGAAGCGGGCACAAGCTTCCGACACGGTGGTCACGTCCTCGGTCGTCTTTTTTTGCGGTGGACCCTGCACGGGCTGGTGGGCACACACGCGCACGCGCAGAAAGAAGACACACACACACACACACACAACAAAAAAGAGGGCTATCCGCAGGGAAGAGGGTGCGGATAGGGTAGCCATGCATGTATGTATCCGTATGCAAGAAATCTATGGTCGAAAAAAAAAAGAAAAGACAACAAAAGGGGAGGGGGCATTTGGGCCCCCACTATGATGATGTCTGTCCCGTGGAGAAGCTAACAAACAAGACAACGGAAGAGAGAGAGATCAAAAAAGAAAGCAGGGAGCGGTGGGCAGCAAGGAACGCGTGGATCAGTGGGTAGCGTGTTGTTCGTTCCCAGCACCTTCTCTCTGCTGGGACTCCACAACCATGCGTCTGTCCGACTCTTGCTGCACGGGCCTAACAGCCAGACGAGCGAGCGAGGCCCGGACGCATGTATACCTGATCACAACACACCAGGCCGAACAAATAAAACGACGGCGATACCTGATATTAACGAGGGCCAGGCATCAGGGGAGTGGGAACTGGGACGGTGGTGCAGCAACAACAGCAGCGGCGGCAGCAGTAGCAGCCAGGCAAGCAAGTCCATCATCCCCCGGGCCGGACGCGACTCGTGCGAGATGGAACGTGGGTGGTATTGGAGGTTGATGCGGGAAAAGTCGCCGCCCAACCAGCCAGCCCTCTTCCTCCCCCTGTCTGCCTCGCTTGCGCTTGGCTAGCAGAGTAGCATGCAGAGAAAATAGCCCGCCCGCTTGACGTCGTGTCGCGGGTGGTGTTTTTCTATTGCGTAACGCAGCCCGTGGGGGTGCTACTGTACTGCTAGCGTTTGCCCCGAGCCGCTGTCAGATCTGCGCAGGCTCCCCTTTTTTTTTTCTTTTTTTTTCTTTTTTTTTCTTTTTTGGGCGGCGGCCGGGTGGAGAGCGCGATGCGAAACCGGGATCAGATCATGGGACATGGGCGGCCATCTCCCTCCTGTCGTTTCCTCAGGGAGGCATTTGGACGGTGTGTTGCAGGACGCGTGTGTTTGTCCTTGGCGGGTACTTTTTTTCCCCTTCTTTTTTGCTCTCCCGCACCTCGTCCTTCCTTGCCTTTGTTTTCCCTGCCTTGCTCTTCATTTCCGTGCTGTAGGCGGGCATCCAGACGGGATTCACAGCCCGCCCCCTTCTCCGGCCATCATCCCGCGGCTGGGTTTCCACAGAGAGAGAGCCACAGTTAGCCTTATGGAGCTCTTGGTCAGGGTCGGGGCCGTTGGCCTCGTGGTGAGGTGGAACAGCTGTGGAGCGGGCCCTGTAGCTTGTTCAACCGACAGCGTCATATCGGCTCGCTGCCTCGGAGCTAGTATGGGTTAAATTATCCACTGGTCTGAACGGTTCGCGAAGCTGTCAGGTGTCACAAAGATCGAGCCCTCCACCCGCATAGACTAAATACCGATATATCCACCTTGGGATATCTCGTCGGGTTTGTGCTCGTCTCGTCGGAAGATGGGAGACGACGAGTGCACACAGTAGGCCCAGGCTAGCGGTACAAACTTTAATGTGTCCCACATCATGAAGACCAACACACATTTGTTTCGTATAAAAAAAAAGAGCAGGAAGAGAAATGAAAAGGCGAGGACGTAACGAGTAGCAGTTTCTGAACAGCCAGGATCAGCAAGCGAACCGGCCACCAACTCTGGGCCGGGTGCCGTTGGATGCTGTCCTTGACGACACTCCTTACTCCCACCCCCTGACGCACACAAGACGACCTCCAACGAAGTATGTTTCTTCAGCTCTGCAGCGGAATGGCGCGGCTATGGGAGCGCAGGGGGGCGAGGGCGAGGGCACGCGAGTCGTCCGGCCCCTCGCCACGACGGATATTACCTAGGCCTGGCGAGACCTACCTTGAAATGACCAGGCCAGGCAGAGGTCGACAAAGGAAGATTGGGTGAAATGCACGCGTGCGGCTGCCGCATGGGTCAAGAGACGTCTCCAAGGTGACGGCCAGAAAACGCCGCAGATGCAAAAGGGTAATGCGCCCAAGCCTTCGCGAGGTGCGCCAAGAGCCAGTCGAGCAACCTAGCACAGCCAGCGATGCTGCAGAGAGCGAGCCCGCAGCCGACAACGGGCTGGGCGGACCATCAATGGGAAGCCGCCCAACAAACAGGAAGCAGGACAAACCCGGCCAAGACACGGCCACTCTGTCGCTGCCAACACCGCAAGCGCAAACGAGGGAAACGCCGGCGCACATGCTTGGAGCCCAGAGGCAGGCATGGCAAGCTCCAGGTGTGGATAATGACTCGTGCCCGGCCATGTGGCTCCGAGCACGGAACTCTGGCCTCAGCTCCAGACCCCACCCGCGACCGGGCGATGGGGAGAAGTCGTCCCAAAAAAGAGAGAGATGTGATGCGATGATCGTCGGCTCGACAAAACAAGGAGTCGTAGATCTGGGTTTTCCGGCCTGGGGCCAGCGGTGTGCGAATCATGAACACAGCTGCGCGCATCATCCTCATGACTCTTCTGGTCCCCCTCCCCTGCTCCCCTGGCGCTGATTTGCGGCCGAGCTCGGGCCAATACTCTGCGCCTAGGCAAGGATAGGGGTTGTCCTGGCACAACGTTGTATGCACATGATTCCCTTCCTGGGCCAAGTACCAACGTCCCCGAGACGGGCGGCCAGGGTAGCTCCTCGCTCGTCGGATAGGCCACTGTGTAGGCGAATTGCGGTGCGACGGCCCTGCCAGGCGACGCTGAGAAGTCCGGTCTTGCCCCGGCTCCGGAGTCGGGGGAAACAATACTGTGCCTCTTTTTTTTGTGAGTTGTCGGCGAGACGCCCGAGATAGACATTGGATTCCGGCAGCTCCGGCAGCTGGAGCCAACGCAGGGCGTTGCCACATGACAGCCCAGCCATGCGTGTCAGCCACCCGTGGCGCACCACAGCTGGCCATCTATGGCAGCGCTTCCTAGAGGGCCGAGGGGCTAGGTAGCTAGACGCGATTAGACGCGTTCGGGGGG